TTTGGAGAATCCACTGTTGACCTACTTAGTAATTATTATTCACATTGGACTGGATTACTTAAGGCTGTTGCACGGTTGATTCGATTTAAGCGATATTTATTAATAATGTATCCTGGCAGAAATGATCTGTCTATTCAGGTGGGTATGCTCAGAGTTGTTGAGCTAGATTTAGCTTGTTTAGATTTAATTCGATATGTCCAAAGCATAGTATTTCGGAAAGAGATTGAAATGTTGTCGTCTGATACCATTAGCAAAGTAAAAATAACAAATTCACCCTTACGAACCTTGAATCCAATAATTATAGACGGATTATTGTGTATCGGTGGCCGACTTCAAATTAGTTCCTGGTCCGAGTCGAGGAAGCATCCTATAATATTACCATCGAAGCATACAATTACAGATTTGATTCTACGGTATTACCATGTTTTGGAGGGACATGTCGGAACTACACAAGTAGTGGCAACGGTCCGAGAAAGATTTTGGGTGCTGAGGGGTGGTGTAACCATGAGGAGAGTGATAAAGGATTGTGTTTATTGTAAAAGGAGGAACGCCCATCCAATTCAACAACTAATGGCACCATTACCTGCGATCAGGATGAAAGGTGGTGACTATCCGTTCTTGTCAGTTGGGGTAGATTATTTTGGACCCCCTATGGTTAAACATGGTAGAAATACTAAGAAACGGTATGGTTGTGTACTCACTTGTTTAAGGTTGAGAGCTGTGCATCTGGAGGTGGCATATAGTTTTACCACCGATTCATTTATCATGCCACTAATGAGATTTGTCGGCAGAAGAGGTTATCCAAAAGAGATTTATAGTGATAATGGATCAAATTTGGTGGGAGCTGAACGTGAATTAAGAAAATGTCTTCAGGGTTGGGTACAGGAACGTATACACTCTGATTTACTAAGAAAAGGAATTGACTGGCACTTCAATCCTCCAGCTGCTATTCATTGGGGAGGAGTGTGGGAGCGCATGATTCGCTCTGTACTTGGGGTATTGGGCGCTCTGGTAAAGGAACAAATTTTAACTGATGAATGACTTGAAACTTTTATGATAGAAGCGGAACGTATAATTAACAATCGACCTTTGGATCTCGTTACAGACGGCTCGAAGGATCTTGACGCAATAACACCAGCAAAACTATTACTATTGAGAAAGAATGTTGCAGAATTCACTAACAATCTATCTAATGACAGGTATTCTAAGAGATGGAAGCAAGCGAGTTACTTGGCGTAATATTTTGGAAACGTTGGTCTAAGGAATATGTTTTGCTGTTGCAGCGTAGATACAAATGGACACAGTTAGAGAGGAACATCAGAGAGGGTGACTTAGTAATGATATGTTCTGACTTCTCTGAGAAAAACAAGTGGCCTTTAGGTCTAGTGCAGAGAGTGATACCAAGTAAGGATAGACTAGTGAGACAGGTAGAACTGAGGACGAGAAAGGGGATCCTAGTGAGAGATATACGTAAACTGTGTTTTGTTGAAGCGGTAGATGGTAGGTAGCTACTCGGATCTTTAGATTTACTGGTGTAAGCCCTATGGATCACGAGATTGTCGGCATATTGAATGTTTGTTGTTGATTGCTTGTGATGAACATACTTGGATTGTTGTTACCTACTTTTGTCGGTGAAAAGAACCAAGGTTCTTTTGGTCGGGAGTGTTACGGGAGGAATGAACACATCTGGCTGATTAAAACCTCTATATAAATATCGTTAATTTCACTGTGTTTTTTGGGTACATTTGTTTTACTTAACTTATGAACTTGTTTTGATTTATTATTTTCGGCCATCTTGGTTTCTGTTTGTCTTGGTTTGGTCATTTGGAGGTTTTGCTCCAGGAACCTATAAAATTGAAGGTATTTGTAGTTATTATAATTATTGTTGTTAGAACGACATTTTGGTTGACTATTCGTTAATTGCGAATAAACTTTGGTACCTAACTTTGGAGTTTGGTTCTGTTGTTAATTTTGGTTCGCGAATTGCAAATAGATCGACATACTGTACTTTAATAACGGGAAGGAGCGAAACTTGGACGTAACATGTGTTGAGTTACAAGAAGAATTTTAATCATGAAGAGACGATAAAATGGAGCTTGGAAAGAAGAATTAACATGCAGCAGCAAAGGCCCGATAACCCGAGATCTCCTGAGCAAGTAAGAACAAAAATATTTCAGAAAAACAAAAAAATTGTCACATTCAATGTGAATTGTAAGTGCATGCATGCAAATGAAGTGAATATTCACACAACAACATCAACAACTGTATCACGTTCTTTTATATATTTACTAGTTTACTTCTCTACTAAACAGTATTTATATAAACTGTAGTTCAGAGTTGGTAAACAGTGAAAACGTAAGAAATATTCCCTACTTATATATCATACAGTTAACGTATCTGTAGTACAAATGGTTGTGAAGAAGAATACCGATATCCAGCCAGGGAGTACGAGCGAACATGCAACAAGCAGCATAAAAAATAGCAGCCAAACAAGCGGAAAGTGCGCGTTCATAAGTGCGAATAAACAGGAAGTTCAATAAAACAATAAGTGGTACAATCGGTTATAATAACAAATGTTTTCATTCAACCGATCGTGTTTCCTTCTTAAAAGTAGAGTCATTACAGACCTAAAATAAAAACACTGATTGATTCGAAGAGACAGAAAAGGTCTGCGAACAATTACCACTGCTCGCCATCCGTTAAAAGATATTTTCAACCTCACACTTAAAAACAACGTTGTTGGATGCCTGTGATGCTCCAAACTCTCAGAGTTTTAGGATATTATTCAGCATAGGTTTCATAGCGAAGTAGTTGAAAGCTTTGTTTGTGTAGTAAGCACCTTACTGAGCTGAATTGTCAGTGACTTGTCTGAAAGACATAGGTCCTTCGATCTTGTTTGAGAAAGCGCAGACCACTGAGTAAATAAATACTACTTACTTACACCTGTTACTACTAATGGAGCATAGGCCACCGGCCAGCTTTCTCATTAGAAAGCAGCCTAAGAAATATTAAAATCTTTGAATGTCTGATCCACAGGCCGTGGTCAGTCAAGCGGGAAACTGAATGATGTACTTAGATTTCATTTGAATTAAGACAGGGTGGCGTAACAAACCAGGAGATTAACGTTCTTTTTCAACTGATACAAATAAAAAAGAGTTGTTAAACGTAGTTCTGAACTGACAAAAAGTTCACAGAGAAACAAAAGATAAAATTATAAAATATGTCACTAAAGTACTGTATCAACCTGATTTCGATTAATCAAGCATTTGCCAAACAATAATACAACCAAAGTTCCATTCCCGTATTGAATATTTTATCGCGACGCTGTCCATCAGTAAACCATTTATTTTTTGAGTACTATCTGGTTTAATAGAAATCAGTGGTGTTACTTCAGCTTACTATCCGGTTTTCACTGTTCTGCGCTGCCTTTCACTGCGCCTTCTTTATTATATATCCCATATATTCGCATAATTTCTAACGAGTTGGTTTTCTGAATTTCTTCTATTCGTACTATCAGTTGCCGATTCTTTATCTTACTAGTGGCGTGTCTTTACTAACCTATTTAAATGCAAGTGTACAGTAAGTGTGCTAACATAGAAAAAGAAATAACTGAGGAATCCTTGACGTCCAACAGTACTTCGAATGAATAGGCTAGCCAAGAAAAACTGAAACTCCAGAAACCGATTAGTCAAGATAATTCCCCCTTCTACCTGAGACAAAGATCAGATTCCTGATGCATTCGTGTCAATCGGTAGTGGTAAACTGGAATTCATGTTCAAACGTAAAGGTCACATGATGCAATTATTAACCATAAAGGCGGATTGGAAATTACTATCCTATTCGTCCACTGTCAAGCACAAGAAAGTAATATGAAACGAATAGAAGCCATCGACTAAGAAAGCCACTTTGTAGATGAATTGCTTGTACAAACACGCGAGGATCACTCAGACAAACAATGTGAATACCCTCCTGCATTTTATATCAAAAGTGTTGACTGCCTATGTACGAACACTGCAGGCTTTTCGAACAAAGTGGACAGGTTATAAGAGCTCAACAATGCCAACAGAACCCACCTGACAGGAATATTTGATACAAGATTAGCTTCTCAAATCGCGGTCCAGAAGATGACAATGCCTGTCATAAGTTCCTTTCGTTGACAGAACTGTATGGGGAGGCAGAGCGGTTCGGTGCAATGTGCGAAGGCGCTAAGAAAGGATAAGCTTCAGTGTCAAATCAAACTTATCGACGAATTTGTCTCCAGTTTTAAACATACGTTCAATTATAAGGCTTTTCTAAGAAAATCCAAAACCTCAGTTTCTTGTTGAGCCAACTGACAACGGCTGAGGTTCTACTTAGCTTCTGACAGAACAGTTCAAACATACCAACCATTATATATGACCTACAGCAACAAGAGCAACACTTATATTTTAAGAGGAACCTCAGAAGTGTGCCTAAGCACTGATCTGGTTTATCAAAAACAGCATCATCTAAACAAGGAAAAATTCTCCTTGCCCGGACTAGGGTCGCTCTGTTAAGTTGGAAGAATCGGCTTCAATCTTGTGACTTTCTCACATCTTCCTAGCAAAGGTCTACTCCTAAACAACTACAAAGGTGTCCAAAGGAGATGGACGTAATGAAACTCCAAGCTACCAGGGAGTAGTACTTCATCCAATACTATCAAAATTTATAGAATCCTTGGTATGAAACAGTCTAGTGTCATTGTTCATAAACTTATTCCCTCATAAGCAACATTTCTTTAGGAAAAGGAGTCCCATTTAGAGCATGAAAAGATAGCTTCTTAGCCCTCAGTCAAAAAGGACAGAAATACGCAGAATGTTTCCGGAAAACTAGTTCAATTTTGGAGGCCGATCACAGGTTTATTCGTAATGCTACGACAGTTATTATTAAAATCAACCCCAACCAAGGCTTGATGTATTTTATCGTCTTGTAGTTTAGTTTTACTGATGTGATCCAACTGACGCAACTACTCTTAAAAAGCGGTCAATTCTTAGTGAGATGCTACGGTGCTTTAACAACTGTGTGGTGATATTAGTGTTTTTCTCACTAGCTGCAAGATGTTCCGACCTTTCAGGCATAGTAAAATGTGACGCTAAAATCGGAAACGAATTTTGTCTACATTACTTTTCACATGCAGTGACTTTTAAAAATGCCCATTTTGAATGTCAAAAACATAACCTCTCTTTAATTACTTTGCTCACGAAAGCACAACAAGAGTTCTTGAGAAATTTTCAGACAACGGTAAGCCAATGAACAATTTTTCATGAAGTACCACTGTTAGACGTGTGTGGATTTAAAAGTAGATAATAATATTTTAGTGATCTACGTTTAGACTAGACCTTCCAGATTTTCAATAAAATAGGTTGAGTATATATTGTGTGTGTACGGATTGGTCACTAACTCGCCTAATGCTCAACCAAATAAGTATTCGGTGAGATTTTAATTTATGGACGAATTTTAAGCGATGCTAAATGGCCTTGAGAACAATTACCTGTATCTAGGGTTTCAGGAGGGTTATAAATTATGATTTGTATTTAGTGTAAGATGTTAGGGTTAGGATCTACAGTTAGGGATCAGCTTTACCAAAAGAATGCTATCTAATCATTCAGATAAATGTTGCTCCAATAATCCAAAACATGCTACCTCAAATGTTATTGGTTCATCCACAGATTATAGTCTTTCCAGATAAAGTTGCTTAAAAAGACGAAGGCTTCCTCCAGTACATTAATTTCATAATTCTAGATCAGGTGTAGAGTGACAGCGGTTTTGATTCGATTTTAACTGCGTTGTGTGTTGTTAGAATTAAACATAATCATTGTAACAAATCGATTTATGATGGATGCTCAGTTAAATTCGACACTGATTTTACAGTGCTCCTCGAAATTTTAAAACTCAGAGTGCTCATCTCGCGAAGCTGTATCGCGTTTTCAAATTACATTGTAATGGATTATGCAAATCCACATCCCGTTCTTATATATTTGCAATTTGCTGTTCCAAATATGTAAAGATACAAACACGATGATTTTGTATGATATCTCCATTATCTTGTGCACCCCCTATGATCTGATCTTAAAAACTGAAAACTGCTCCACAAACGCGGAAATAAACTGAATAATCGCTCTTGACCGTTTTTTTTAACAAGCTAGGGTTTGTGTTTATCGTTTGATAGATGTTTATATCCCTAGATGACAATGTTTAAGCTTGGTTTTTGTAGTTTGAAGCGATGCATAGTCAAGTATCCAAGGCATGACGCAAGTTTTTCATTTTCTAAGTAATTTTTCTATGTTATGTACTACTGAATTTCTAGATTAGTATAATTGAATCTAAAGTTTATGTGGTCAAAAGGTATTTCGAGTGTTCAGTAGTAAGAATAGGTCAGTCGATTCATATTAATCCTTGCAATTTATGGCGCAATGGGGACCCGATCTCGCTTCGAATGTTTCATTAAGAAGTGACGGTATTTTATGCCTTGATTCATTACTCGATATGAGAAACGTAACTCCAAACGTAAACGATTTGATCTCGGTTTTAAACTTAAACTATCCTCTCAGATTATCAGTCCAGAAAGGAAGAAATAAGACGTTAGTATCAAAATCAGTGTTCAGTTTACTCTGAGCTAGTATTCAGTTACCTAGTAACCTACGATCAGATAACAGAAATAGGTTGTGTCTCAGTATGTCATCATAAAATAGGTTAGTGAGACCATTAACCATTTCGGTTCCTTGCCGTTGAACTCGTTCCAGCATATCCACCGAGGACTTGCTGCTTGGATCCCACATTCCAAATTTGGCCCTAAACGTTTACTCACGTATTTGATGATGATGAGTAGCCCATATGACCCTGAAATCTTTGGCAACGACAGCCTTACAATTGTTCTTAGTTCTAAGAATGTTGCTTATTATGAGTCCTTACTTACTCCTGTTACCCCCAGTGGAGCATAGGTCGCCGACCAATATTCTCCAACCTACTCTGTCCTGGCTATTATGAGTCCTAGATATTTATAATGTTTTAATTTCGGTAAAACCATCTTATTGTGTAGTCACACAAATCGCTTAAGTTATTTATTTGAATCAATGCACTTTTTCTACGAGTAACTTCTCATAACCATCTATACATCCATTCAACCAGTAAATTTAAGTCATCTTACTATATTATACTATGTGACAGTGTATAAGTCCCCAAACCTTAATGTTATCGGCCAAGAATAGAACAGATGACTTTGATGCAATTAACAAACCATTTACACACAGTAAAAACTGTCGGAAATATTTGCTGATAACACTGTTGTTGCATCTACTGATTTGATCCAGTACGACTGTAAATGTATACAACTGAGATTTTCAGACCAAAAAACGGTCCCGAACGTCCGCTTAAACATGATAAATCTGATTTACTAGTTAGCGAGATATTAGGTTTATGATGCAACAGTTTTACTGTGATGAATTCGAGCGATTTCGTACCTCAACTTCTTACTCTGTACCTTAACCCTAGTCAGCAGAAACCAACTTAGGTTTATGTTGAGACAGTGGCGCCTTCATTAATAAACTAAATGTTCAAACACTATGTTGGGAATTAAAAACTACCTGTTCAGGTCGTAGTAGCCACGTGGTTCCACTAACCTTTGCAGTAGTCCCCTGAAGTCAAGATATGAACAGTTATCTGGTCACTAAGTTTTTATATTTCATTGTTTATTTGGAATATGATGGAACAAATAATTATGAGTAGCAGTCATAGAACATTATAAAATGACTACGCAGTGCTTTCTTGATGTTTTTGGTTTTGAGTAACTTCTCTTAATTTGATTCGGTTTTAGACGTGATATTTACAAAATAAATAATAAACGTGTTACTGAATGTTATCATTATTTTATTTATCCACTTAATCATAGTTTGAAACTCCCATAACCGCGTTATGGATTGGTTTATATATTGAAAACAATCATTTGCGCTGGTCATCTGGGTATTCTGCAGTACCACAACTGTTCATTTCTGAAAAGGTGGGAAGGTTCGAAGGATGTGCTATATCTAATATATGTAAGTTACCATTTCTTAAAGAAGAAAGAAGTCAATTCAGCGAAGGATAGTTTCTTTTCGATGATTTTATTTACCTAACCTATGCAGTGGTATTTATATTTAATTTAATTTGCCCAAATAGTAGTTTGTAATTAAACAGAATGATGTTGAATAATTGAACATCTTGAAGTGGTATCTTGTAATGAACTGTTCATGAAAAGCAGATACTGAAAGAGAGTTACGTAATAATTAGCTAGTGAAAAGTGCTTGGGTGAAGATGATTGTCCTCTTAATGGTTACTAGGAGCAAAGAAGTTAAAATAGTGGCTAATTAATGGTTGTAAAATTGACGGAATAGGAGTAGAAATACTAATTTCAAAAGGCAGTAGATTATGAATGACAGAAAGGAAAATTAACACTATGGAAGAGTGAGGGACTAAACGTACCTCTTTTGCGCAGTGGGATTAGGCTTGAACTAGTGAATAGCAAAAGCCTCTTACGTACATAAGTTTTTCTTCTCCAGGCAACTTTTCTAACTGCTTGTATGTACAGTTTCCGAATTTCACATCATATCATAATTCAAACCGAAATTCCTTCCTGATTTACTAAAATCCTAAAATTATTTCGCTACTTTAGTACTAATCCTTATAATAACTTTTCAATTTTAGCTTCAGGAGAGCTTTCCACTTGGCAGTTTATTCCATGTGATACCAAACTAGGCTTTGTATGTGGTCACATTCCTCAAATGTCCTATCGGCATCCATTTTCTGATCAAAAAAATCTTATTTGCCCTCATGGATACAAATTGTTTGACAAAAACTGCTACTTGGTAAGACTTCTTGTTGTAACAAGTACACAACGTTTATAACAGTATCATTTTTACTATCACTGGTTTATAATATATCACGACGAATCCCTTAGTTTAACTTTCATACTCAATGACCGTAATCGGGTACAAAATTGTACTTTTCTAGAGTTATGCTAAAAATAACCAAAGTTTGTAAATTTGTCCTTAGTTAGTAACATTTCTCAGTATGAAGTGTCCAGATTCTTTATTATAAATCGCTTTCCTGAAGTTCATCCAACCATCTCGTCTCCAAACACTTTGTGAACTTCATTCGAATCATCACAGAACCAGTAAGCACTGCATTTTCTATTTTTCGCACTGTGGATAAGGGATCCATAGATACACTTATCCTCGGATTATACGTTCTCTCGTGTTTTTTAGTTAGCTTTCATTTTTTTCTTTCTTGATTAGTAAAGTTGACTTCTATGTATTTGATATGCAATTCGTAAATTGAACTAAACTGATGTTTCCATGAAACCCACTTATAAACTACAAATCTGGATAACAAACTTCCTTCGACACAATTTTCGATACTTCTCGAACCAATGCAGGTGAGGTAGCTGGTGATACGGCAACACTCAATTGCTAAGCCGATTGCTTCAACCAACTAACCACTATTTCAATTTTTTAATGAATGCTACCACATCGTGTTTTATCAAGTGGTTAAATATCGTCATTCAACTTTCTTAATTACACGAATAAATAATTGGACCAATAATTCCTTGTGTTTCATTGATTTGTAGCTAAAAGAAGATTTATCCGATAGGTTAACATGGGACAAGGCAAATGAACAGTGCAATGCATCAAACACTAAGGCATCTCTCGCTACTGTCACATCACCAATGGAACAGGGTAGGTTCAGTCCTAATACATTTTCCGTCATTTATTTGTTGGTTTTCGTTAACTTACATCAGCCTGTATGGTTTGGCTTTTCATCAGTATTAACGTAGAACTTCGTACGTACATACATCTGTTCAAGTCACTATACCGCATTAGCACGGAGATGCATTGTCAATTCAAACCCACTAGTAGTATAGGTAGTAGAAGTATCAGCAGTAATGGAGGCGGTTAGGGTTCGAAAATATTATTCCAGAAGTAAAATTCAGTAAAATAGATTGAAGAATAGAAAGATGATGATGAGGAGTTCAGAAGATTGGAGTCTAAGAGAACACAAAGAATGGATTCACCTGCGCCACTGCAAACGATTTTGAGCCACATTGTTCAAGGTCCCTAACTATCGATAACAGTTGTCTTGCAGACATCAACCAGGTAATCGGTGGTTGGACATACGTAACACATGTCCGAACTATCTCAGTTGATAAAGGTTCACTACTTCATCTATTGATCACCCAACTACTTCACTCCCTATCATCACTAGTTCGAGTGCCGGTGCAAGTCAATCCTGAAGTGACATTTTGCATTTCGAGAGAAAGAATCACATCCCGAACATGCTGCATTGTTGCTTAAGGTGGTCGGAAGACTGCATTTTGTCAACATCTTCACCAACCAGAAATCTGTCATCGTCATATTCTCAGTCGACAAACGAATCTCCCGACAATAGTTCAACTCCTGAAAAGCCAGACGATGCAGGTGCTGTTTCTAAAAGCATATCGATGACAAAAATGAATAAAAATGTGGAAAGTTGATAACCCTGAAAAACACCACTTGAAGTAATCAGTTCCAATGACAGTTCGCAATAAGCTTCGGCTCGACCAGTAGTGTTCGAGTGGAGAGCCTGTACAAAGTTAATGTACTTTATTGTTACACCTTTCAATTGCGGACACTGCCATAGATCTTCATGACCGACAGAGTAAAACGCTGCCGAAAGGTCAGGGAATATAGCTATTGTTGTACGTCGAAAAGTGTGTCTATGTTCTAGGACCTGACGAAGTGCGAAAATATGGTCTATACAGCCACGTACTTCTTGAGGAACCTGAAAAAGATGTTGGATTAGTTTTGGTTATAGAGAACTGCGAGAGTGACAGCAGAACCCAAGAGCATGGCCTTCTAGGCAGCTAACATGTTAGCTCCATTCTTCAAATGGCCTTACCGCCCGAGACGAAAATGCTCGGGGTAAGGTGAGGTGTGACATTTTGATAAACAAAAATGGTATGATTAACAAAGTCTTTGGTTAGATTTTAAGCTACAGTTTTTCTTCACTATCTCAATTTTAAGAGATTTTATTATAATTCAAACGATTTCATTCAGTATTAATTCACGTTTCAATTTCACTAATTACTCATCTATCAATCAAAATAGCTGTCTTTAGTTTGTCTTAAAAAAGCTCACGTTTTTCGTAGTTCAGTGCGTTGCTTTTATTTTATTCTTCATAAAAAAATATAGACGCCCTCTCTGTATTGATTGCCCATTCTTCTCACCCGGTATGGATTGGCATGTATCTTGATCAAAGTGAACGTAAATTGATTCATAGTGGTTCTATCAACTATACAAATTGGTATCCAAAAGAAATGCTTGGCACTAAAAAGGTAAACTATTATGTAGCTTATTTCCAAGTCAATATTTGATATTTTGGCTATAATTTAAAGACAGAATAGAATTTTAACTCACTGATTGCACATTTTAAGGTTTATCTGTAATTAAGTGGTTGTGATTTTCGATCTTCCGGTTTGGTCCTTGTCCACCCTACATCTGTTCGGATATCTGACCAAGTAGTATCACCAGTCCGCACACACTTCGATTTTGACTTAAAGCCGATTACGCGAATCTGTTTCTCGTAAACAACTGAAAAAAGGTTAAGAAGTCATTTGTATGTTCATCGCGATCCATAGTCGGACCGGTTAAGTAATTCGACCCAATCAGTGGCTCAAATATATTCGTTCTTTTTCTTTTTCTAACGCTTCGGTTTAATGTTTCCGTTTTTTTTCATTGCTTCGGCCTGGTTCATATCTTCCTTATTCCTTCACTCTCTGCTTCTCAGTTTGTCAGTTTCCTCTGTGAGGTATGAGAACTTAAAATGATATATAAGCTTTCACATGTCAATAGACGGTTGACTATTTTTCTTTCTTACATTTCATGAGATTTGACGAAAGCTAGTGGCGGCCAGACCAAAACATGGCAGAAATGCATGAAGAGGTGTCGACTACCTGGTTGGGGTCCGCGAGATGTTAGTAATCGATGGTTAGAGACCCTGAATGACATGGTTCGAAACCGTTTGCAATGGCACAGGTGCATTCATTCTTTGTGTTCTCTCAAATCCTAAACTTTTTAATTCTTCACTTTATCTTTATCTTTTTAAGTTTATTTCATTGGATTCTGTTTCTTGAATAATATCTTCTAGTCATAACCTCTCCGACTACTGCTAATACCTTTACTACCTGTACTGCTATTGGATTTGAATTGACAATTACATCTCTGTGCTAATGTGCTATGGCAACATGAACTGATGTACGTACGTACGAAGTTCTACGTCACTATTGATTGATTGATTGATGATGTGTTCAAGGAAAGAGAACGAATTACCAAAATGATTTTTTGAAGTAATTGATTGTCGTCTTTGAATTCCGCCTTTTTGGTTCACTTAACATGTTAGATAAAACACTTGTTCTACCAATACGATTTCTTCATACTCTGTTCAAACAATGACATTTCGTTTTCAGAGTTACCTTATGTTCTTAGGATATTTAAAATAAGAAACTTTTGGGTAGATATCTTTAATTCTTCTATACTTCAGTTTATTTAGCCTATGCTTGGCTAACCTGTGTGCTGTATTATCGTTTCTTTCTGGGTGATCGTAGCATTCGATGTCCGCACCGGCTTTCTGCACATTTGTGGGCAATATATATATATATATATATATATATATATATATATATATATAGGAGAGCGCCACAAGATTAAAGGCAGTTCTGTTTAATTAACATAGTCACTACTGTATATATCTTGGAAAGCGATAGAAATTACCTTCATTTCGTACTTGTATAAAATCTACTTTTTGATAATCAATTTAAAAGATTGCCTGTTTTCTTTTTATTCATTAAGCGATTGTGTACAATGATGCATCAGCGCCCATTGCATCTTGGACAGTGGGAAGAAGTTGATTGCTCTTTATCTCTGAATTATATCTGTAAAGTTGCGGCTGAGCGTAAGTTTACACTACTTTTTTTTTTACATCAGTTAATTGTTTGCCAACTCACTGACTAATAACTTTCCCATGTACATTATCTCTTAATCCTGACTTTGTATATCTGTTTTGACGGTTTCTTTTCACGTGGCAATATACTTGAATTTTGCTTATAGGATCTCCCATCTAATTACTAACTGAATTTAGTTACTTCATTACTTGTTATGTACGCTTAAAATTCTGTCTTGATGTATTTATCTATTCCTTGTCTACTGGTGTCGTTTTTATTTGCATGTTGCTAAATAATAATGAGTTTAACAGAGCTTTACTTTTATACAGACTCAAGCTATTTCCAATCATGAATACACTATTACTTTCTTTTCATCATTGTCTGCTGAAAAAACTGAAGATATAGTGTAAATTTATTGTGACTAGTTTCTTCTGGCGGTCGCTAATATGAGAATGATGTGTGAAACAAATTTTCATACTGAAAAAAATCCATCGTTAATTGTTCTTTTCAGCTATCAAATTTAAATTCTTCAAAACACATGCTTACATAGCCTTCTACCTTCACTGTCAATAGATAGTGTCAGTCTACTGGTACTTTGTGTGCAATTTGTATACGGTAACAACATTAAAAGCTCCAATATGTAATTTTGTTTTTGGGGTTTCAGGAGACTAGGAATAATGTTTCGTGAGCTCAAACTGTTTGCTTCAGTGGCACGAGGTGACAAGCGATCGAAGGAATGGTTAGTCGAAGAGATGAGAGAGTTTTTTAGGAGGTGTAGAAAGTATTTGATTGTGACCAATTCGTTCTCGTGTGCTTTTATGGGTACGAGGGTGGATGTTACTTCCCGGCTGCCCACACGGTGGAAGGGTTCTGGTTGTAAAAAAGGGCATCGGCCTCATGAATTCTGAAGGAACACTCGGCTTTCATCATGAGATGTCATAACCCTTCTGACTGAAGACTTTCTAACTCCTAGAGCAGAGTTAAAGTTATTTAAATTATTTTTTCTAGTTGGCTTGTTAGCGAGTTAGTTTTTTGCGGGATTTGGGTCGCCAACCCCGATCCTAACCCTCCTCCTTTATCTGGGCTAGGGATCGGTAGTAGCCTAGAAGGTTCTACAGGCGGGGTTGTATACGGTAAAAACCATAGGATTCATTAAGAATCACGATTTTCTAATCTCTTTTACTGTAACGCTTCAAGGGAAGATAGTTTAGCTTATCGATGTGAAAAACAGTTGGCAAAAAAACAATTACTCGTAAAATAATAAAGTATTCTTTTATTGTTCGTTCTACATTTTTGATGCTTAGCCATCTTCTCAAAGTTTTTAGTTTAATGTAACAATTTATTTAAAAAGTATCATAATAATAAACACGTTCAAATATGAATCGATTTGATTTCGTTACTTTTTAATAATAATGATTATCATATACCATGATGAAATAGAATCATGCATGTACAGTTGGACATTTCATTTTTTTTTTAATGCATTTTGCCTAGTTTCATATTATTTATTTAAAACGAAGTATAACAGGAAAGCATTGTTCTCAACACTTTTGTGATTGTTCAGATGTTGTGCAGAATCTGTATCAGAGAAGTATGAAAATTACATGAATGATTGTTGGTCATTGTAGGATCCATTTTGAAGAGCTTTGTTTGTGAAAATCCCTCCATGTATATACATTTGTAACTTGTTCCTATTGATTCCTTCAATTGTACATTTTGTTAGACTGTTCGATTGCATTTGAGATGATAATATTTGTATTTTATTATTATAGTTACTATTTTTTTTTGCCTTAACTGAGTTTCTATGTTTCTTTCTAAACTGCATTTATGTTGTTTAAGCTGACACTTAGTCATGTTGACAGCCATATTGATTCGTTCCTCTTTTGATTGGGTTGCGTGCTATGACTGGAATTGTGCATTTTGATTGTGAATTCAAGCACCCTTCCAGAATAAAAAACAGCCTGTGTTATGAAGCAACCAAATATTAACTGTCGAACGAATCTGATCTATCCAGGAAGGATAGAATATCATTTATTTGTTCCTGTTGATTTGAATAATTGGACAATTGTTGGTGGAATAGCTGACTGGTAATATTGTTTAGGTAATGATGTAAATTTATATTTATGATGAATATTAGAACCGTTATTTTGACTTCAACTGGTCAAGACGCGTATCTAAAGTACCTAGACAGTTATTCCTTAGTCCAAACCTCAATTTGGATCCTACAATCTTTGATTAATAAAGTATAACGGCATAACAAAATTTCAAATCGTTGTCTACTATTTTTTATATCTGTTATCCTGTCCTGTCCTCGGGTAATGACTCAAGTGCACACAATTCAATAGATCTGCTTATTATTGTGATTTATGAATACAACTGGTTTCTACCTGTTTTTTTGTTGAAAACAACATTTAATTTGTAACAACAAACTGGAAATGCACTTTGTTTTTCTTTAGGGAGGAAATCACCTCTTTTAATAATTTCTGTTTGTATCGTAAATAGGTGTGCACTTATTGATTTTTTTGTGTATAGTTTTTTTTTAAATTGTCTGCGGAATTATACATTCAGTGCATTCAGGTTTCAACATATTTTTTCTCTGTTTACATACCGTATGCGTCTATTCTTTTATAAATTATGTTTGTTGTAAAAGTATTTAAGAAAGCTGTATGTAGAGTTAATTAAGTAATTCGCCAATGATTGACTATTCATCGAATTGCCACCAAATGCCTTGGTACTACTACTAAATATTGTTCCAAACGATTGAGTACGGACAAAGCGGCTCGAAGCCTGCACTCACTCTTGGCAGCGAGCAGATGGGAGAAGTTGAAGAGTTCATGTATCTAGATGGTTGTGTAAGTGCCGTTAGTTGCATGAATGATGAGATCAATTCATGTGTAGTGGAAGCCAATCTGGGCCATCTTTGGCAACTTCGCGATGGTTGATCTTGCTTTAAATGGTCAGGTCTTCAGTGTTGTCAATGAGAACAGTTTTCGTCTATACTCACGAGATCTGGTCTTTCCGAGATGAATATATTAAGAAGCTTTCTGTATTCAGTCACCGTTGTCTCCGGAAGATTTCTGACATTCAGTGGCTTCACTATGTTAGTAATTCAGAGGTCTGGGTACAGCAACTTATCTACTTTTTAACCTTTTTCTACACTTTCAGATATCTGTTGAGATAGGCGGTAACTAGGCATACTCAACACATATCCTAACTACATCAACGGGCTTACCATTTTCACCTAGTACCTTATGTTTAGTCACAGCATTACCAACTCAGTGATCTCAACGTACACGAGGAATGCTTTGAGGGTGTTTGTAATCAATTACCGGTAACCTAAGAATAAACCCATTCTTCTTCTGTTGTTTTCGTTACAATTGTTCCATGAATAACTTACATTTTCATTTTTTTTAACTATTCATTCAGTAAACGCTTCATCTAGTACCAGCAGTCTATCGACTCCATCACTTATTCTAACTCAGGGTGCATGCAAAACTAATTACTATGAATACAATAAACGATGTTATCGTCTTTATGCTGCTGATAATGAAAATGAAATGGCTTCATCATGCGGCATCAGATTATCACCTTATTCCAATGACGAAACTGCCTTCATGCGTTTATTATTACAAACTACACCCAATTTAACAATTGATCGAGCTTGGACGGGTGTTTCACTCATAGTTGACTTAAATTCAAAATCAAAGGTGAAGAATACTCTAGTTTATTTTCAATATCTAGAAATTTTCTTTATTTAATTAAACCTAGCATTTTGTAAGATAAGAATTTATGTATTTATACTCATCTTTATAGTTATTACATGTAGCCATTGAGAGGTTTGTTTCCTCTGTTTCTGTCTTACTTTATTTGGAAGCTAATGATATTAGTTAGCTGACCAAACCGAAGTGCACTAGGCCAACATTCAAGTCTACAATATGTATGATATTAAGTTCTCCTAGCTAAATAGTCTATTTACAGTTTTCTGGACAACATTATCACCTCTTACTTCATACATACAAGCGTCGAGTCATTTGTTCTAGTATCTCTATTTGGAACTTGCCGTGTCAGTAGGCTTCGTTGTCTTCATTCATATTTAAGTCGACTATTTTTATTAGACCACTAACCTTACGGTTGATTGACCTTTATTATAGGGGTTGGTAGGTCGGGTGTATCTCGATTTGTCTGTTGATCATTGACTGATTTGAATGCTATGCTTCTAGAAACTTTTTAACATTTTTCACATTCTCTTAATCTCCAATACGGATATTCTATCAGTCCAATTCATGTCTGTAATTGCCTACGGGCGTTAATGTCAGGGGTAGCAGACCATGCCGTTTTGTCAGTAGTTTGTATTAGTGTATATTCGTGAAAAGAGCACTCATCTGTGTTCATTACAGTTGATACGGTTTTTGTGTAGACGCTGTTTCGTTTGTCCGCTTCTAGGTTAAAGGAATTAAACACCAGTAGACGGGAATGCTTTTCTCTAATGGGATGTTGTTTTTAATTGTTTGTGACATTAGGTGTATGTGATGCAATCGTCATTAAGATGGTCCAGTTGAAATTTGTTCACAGTAAAATCACAACATGTACCATTAATTTCATAATCCTTTTATTCTTTCTAACTAAAAATTAACGAATGTTGATTGGAAACTAATGATCTTCAGAATAGTAATGCACAATCAAGAATGTCTATTTATATTCGATTGAAATGAACGGACATATAGTCATTGTCTTATTTGAGTTCCTTTAAGTATCATCTTAAAACCGGACAGCTTAAACTCCTCCTATATTGATACCGGCATCATATGGTGTGGGTGCTTAGTAGTTAAGGCTTTCGGATTTCAGGTTCGTGTTTCAAGCAGTAGGTCGTAGCTCCGATTCTTGTCACTCCACCTGCCTCCGTCTAATCGCCGAAGGGATATTAATAGTTTCAAACAGATTATGTGGCTCAAGACTGAGTATATATAAACCTGTAGTTTTACTGGATCCCCTCTACTACATTACATTGTCTAACTTCTAGTTAACTGTAATTAGCTGCAATGTATTGTGACAAGTTTATCTGTCTAACTCCCTTTATTAAATAGATCACACTGTCATGTTTGTTTTTTCTTGTATTGAATTTCGTTGTTTCAGTGGTTTTACAAAACAGAGAATAACGATTCGTATTACGCTTCATTGATACACGATTTCTATATTTTCTCGTATGAAAATGTCAACTTGACTACTAGTTCACGTAATCGTTTTTGTGTAGCGATAAATCGTGACAATACAGTGATGGATGTTTTGCCTTGTTCATTGAAACTACCCTCAATTTGTGGATATCATTTGCGTAAGTTCTTGCCTTGTATTTATCCTTTTTAATTTTTGGCGTGTTCGATTAAATAAAAGGCATTATTTATAACAGGTAAATTATGACATAGATTAACTTTACCGATCATTTGTAAAGCCTCTGATAATACTGGTATGAGTATAGGGGTCATAGAGATTATCGAATATCACAAACTAATCTAAGCTAGTTAGTCATTGAAAAGTAAAAGGACTCAACAACTGATTGGAGTTAAGCTTTCACTCTATTGGATTCCGTCTCAGTGGCTTAGAAGTTACTCGTTTGTGCGTGAGATTGTTCCTTGTTCGATCCCAGATGGCAGCTTCGTTGATTCCCAATGCTGGGATGTCCCATACTAGTACGAAACGGCTGTCCAGTGCTCGTAGGCTTTTAATGATTGTCTAATTTAGATGGATTCGTGATCTTAATTAATTAGTAGTATTGTTTGTAAAGGTGATCCATATAGATTCGGAGTCAGCGGTTACCGCATTTTGATGGCTTCATTTAAGTTTAAAAGAGGAAGTAATGATCTTTGTAACCGATTGAACCAAAAACAAGCTGTAAGTTGGGTTAAAAGAGTTGTTAAGCCCTATTTGAATTTCAAGTAGTCTTTCATCTGACATCAGTCTTTGATAAAAACCTACTTCCAATCATCAATTTTTGTGAAATAGTATTTTAACTACCTCAGTTTTTGTTATCCCATATCCTGAGTAAGCGAATTAAAGTGGTCATCATTAAGAATATGTCATGCAATAAAAAACTCTTCGATTTGTCTGAAATATCAATATTTGCTGTGACCTAGTATCCTGTTGGTTGATTACACAGCGACTGAGCTAGCTATGACTTACTATACACAACGCACAGAGATATTGGGGTACATAGCAGTGTATTTGATTACTGAGTTACATCAAAAATCTATAATTTGTAGGCTATATTAGACTGCAGATCATTAGGCCATGCACTCTACATGAAGCATGGAAGATTCAAGTCTCAGTCAATCCTTGGCAGAGCTATGGATGCCCACTGATGAGGTGTCTCATGCTAGTACGTAACAGCCTTCTACTTCTCACTGGTACTGTAACTCAGATCAATGTATGATGAATATCGCTTCATAGATTTAATGCACTCAACAACTTGTTAACCGAAAATGATAGCTATCTTTAAATAAAATCGATTCATAAGCATATTTTAAATAACGCGATTCCTAGTAAATTAAGCCCACCCAGCCAGCCTATGCTGCATGTTGAGTAATTTTAAAAATGAATTGAATTTGTATGATTGATTACTTGTTTGATTAGCGTTTTATTTAAACACACTTTATCACGCATGGCATGTTTTTTTTGTATACACTAAGCAAAATGTCTATTCAACTTAAGCTTATTAAAAAAAAACTCACTCAATACATGTTTTGCATACCATCTTATATATATATTTATATGTATTGTGTGTATCATTAATGTTTATGTATATATCATAGAACACAAGAGTGATGATAACTTAGTAATGTAATTAATTATGATATAACATCGACTTGCATTTGATTGTTTTTTGTGCATGATGCACCAAACAAAAAAGATGAAATCACTCATGAGTATGCATCTTTGGTGTGATCGAATGAAAACGAAAATTATCAATAAAACTAGACAGTGAATTTATGATAATTTCGAATAAATTGATCAATGCAGTGTGTGACATAATTTGAGTATTCTTAATAATATTATTTTGAACAGTTGTGTGGTTTGTTTGTATGACTAGTTACTAAACTATTTCGTTCTTCACTTACCTATCTCAGTGAAATACTCACTAGAAATCAGCAAGCACCAGACATCCCGGTGTGAAGATCTCATCACTGTACGTCCGTGACTCCACCGCCGATAATTGGGATTAGGACCTTTAAGTCGTACTGTGAGCACTCACTTTGTAGACCAGTGAATAAGCACTCGAAGGTTCATATTTCCAGTTCCGGTACATGCACAATAATGCATGACCATCATCTATTCCCATCGACAAGATTCGTTTCACGTTGGATGCTTATCATTAGAATATCCTATAATATTTGCTAATTGTTGCTGTAGAATTGTAATAATTGTTAGTCAATTTAATCTGTATAGAGTTTGACTGCGTTCTATAGATCAACTATGCCATTGTTGATCAAGTGACCTAATAATCTCTGTGCACATTTTGTTTGGAGGTTGTTTTTTTTAAAACAAGATCTTAGTTTCTGTTTATTTTTAATTCCACTACACAAAACATTGTCCATAATTCACATCTGCCTACGTTTATCTGTGTAATCATTTCTTTTGTTTCATAAGTTAAATCTTTCTCTAAATTCTTTCTTGTATATAAAGCGAACTATAAGCATCCATTGCCGCAAGACAATGACAACTCTATGTCATCATCTTGTCCTGAACATTGGATTCAATATGGACACAAATGTTTCTCACCAATTCGTCAATCACCATTCCCATGGTCGTTAGCAGAATTGGATTGTGCTAGTTCTGTCAATGGAACAGTTGCTCATTTACCATCAGTTCACAGTCCAAGTGAATTAACATTTATTAGTAAAATGTATAGTGGGGTGGATGTTTGGCTTGGTTTACGAATTCATCGTAAGTTGTGATTGTTGTTGTGCATTTATTTCATTTTGATAATACTTTAATTTTCAATGTAACCCGTTTATTCTGAACATGAATTCTTTGACAATGAATTAGGTTTAGGTGATAAGAGTTACACTTGGGCCCCAGTGTGTTTTAACGGAACGATTAGTGAAAAATCTAAACTTTGAAAACTGTCCTACCTGAAGTAATTATTTCTATTTTAAGTAAATACTTAAATCATTGTATTTGTTTTCATTCCTGCTCATAAATGTCTCCTTGATACATACTCTGTTGTTGCATGTCGCACCTTTCTTATGTTACCGTCAGTTCATTGCTGTTCTCTTCCTCTTATGGCACAGTTATGCTCTTATTACAATTTCCTTAGATTAATTTGTAGTCAAGATTTTGTTGTGTCTTGATTGGACTGAATATATAATAGAAACGGGTTACTGGTTTTTCTCTAGACTCAATGTAAGAAGTAAGAACAGAATTGAGTATAACGGAACAATAAGAGCTTAGTTTGTGTCGGCTCAAGGTGATTCATGTAGATCAGGCGTATAATTGATGAAGTTTGGAACACTAAACTGCTGAAAAAATATAAGACTCGGAATAGTAGAATTATATGATTAGAAATCCCGTTGGTATCACCATAACAAGATGATGCCTTTTGTAGCTTCCCAGATTATTTGTCTATTTTTGATGAAATGATTGAAATCAATTCAATTGGAGCTATGGAGATTTTTTGTTTTTATACACATTGAAATCATCACTCAATCATTGTTAGACCAACATCAGAAACCTGGAAGGAATCCTGCGAGGTGCAGGAGTCGTGGATGCGCAATCCTGATGAGTCGCATACCAGGCCAAAACGGCCGTCCAGTACTTTCAGGTTTCTAATAGTGGTCTATCAATGACTGATTGATGATTTCAGTGTGTCGATTAAGATTGTTGCGCAATGACTCGACATCAGGTGCACTATGTTGAAATATAGGACGATGATTGTAGATAGTCGACAGAGTTTCAACCATCACCCTAACACAGACATTTATGGAAAACCTTAAGATAACATTCATTTGGTGTCCTTCATATCGATATTATTAGATTATGAAAAGCGGAATAAGTAAAAGTAACGTTCTAATTTTACAATATTAACTGTTTCTGTTGTGTTACAGTCTACTTCCTAGCATAACTGAGTATTGAATTTTTTTTCTCATCCTTTATATTTGTGCATTTTGTTTTTATTAGATGAATTCGTTGAAGACAGATCGCTACCTTTGAATAAATCAAGCCTATATTGGTCCGATGATAGTGCTGTGGACTACTTATCATTTGCTCATGGTGAACCTAGTCGACACTTTTCAAATGCTGATATTGAAAATTGCTTCATATCGCATGGTAGTACACATGATTGGAACGACGTTAACTGTAACAGTTTTCATTCATATTTTTGTCAGTTATTATTGACAAATATATCAGCGTCGTCGGCATCTGAGTTACCACGTGATCGAGTTCCAGGTAAGAATGTTTACTTGTCGAATGGTAAAAAGTATCATACTGAAACAGGTAGTCATTGGATTATACAAGAAAGTTATATGATCCTTGTTTCTTTTTCTTAGAAGGAGAGGGGCTGAGGGCTTTTATTAGTAAATTAACAATCAACATAGAGCTAGTGAAAAGGTTTTTGCTATTCACCCACGAACTTGGGAAACTCACGAGTGTTGACATTATATGAAGATAACAGTGTTATTATATGCATACAAACATACATGATATTTAACATATATGTATTTCAAATCAAGAGATTAGCGAAGTTAATAGACATCAAATTATAGTCTCTTTCGAAAATACATGGACTTCAGTCATCAGTGAAAAATGCGAATAAGCAATGAGAAAGATCGTACAAATATGTGGAGGAATATGCGTCTGGCAGAGAGAAACTAGTACAAAGTAGTAATTGGCAAAAGATTTCTGCAGTGATTCGACATGACTGTTCATCATGCCTTACTAAGATTCACAAATGAAAAATCTTGTTTGTTTGAATTTTCTCCCCTACCATTATTTTTAAACTGTTTTACTAGTTGGACGCCAGGAGGGCATTATTATAATAAAGGCATAATCAAATTGCCAACATTTATGCCTGCTGCAGCCGTGTAGCGTAATGCACAAGCGAACCTTTTACTCAGTATCTTTCGGATGGGTCAGGAAGTTTTTAACATGTCTTAAAGTTTTTACTATCATAAGTTAGTATCGATAAACAGAGGCGATTCCCATTCCTCTAGTGTGAAGCATTGACAACTGAAGTTCAACTATGTCGAGTATGAAACAGTTACTAATCAATTGCATTCTAAGATGATTGCCCGCTATCACGAATTGATTGGGGCTAGGAATGCAAACCACTGAACACCAAATCAGTAGTCTAAAGGTTAAGTACTTTGCACGACCTTTGTAGATCTTGCGTTGGATCGTCAGTGATAGGGTCATGAATGCACACTGTTGGGTAGTCCCATATTGGAACGAGACAGATGTCCAGTTGTTACTGGTTTCTAAATGTTGTCCAACTAACACTACACTCCATAATATAAACTGTGATTGTCAACAATCTTCACTATCTTCTACACATTAATAACAATCAAAAACTAATGTCAGTCAAATACTGTTCATTCAATATCGATTTATTATTCGTGGTTATTGTTATTATTATCGTTGTTTCTTATTTTCCATTATCGTTTAGAAGTTATTAATACAGAAGTATGCACAAATATTTCAAATAATCGCTATTGTATACGATATATTTCACAAATGGCTACGTTTTTCGAAGCTGATTATGCATGTCGTAATTATAACATGACGCTTGCCACTGTACCGAGTGAAGAGCATCAAATGTTTATCATGAATACTCTGAAACATGTACGTGTATTTTACTGGCATTTTTAACAACGAATTTTTGTATTTTTTCATTTTTGATGCTCATTTGCCAGTATAAGATCGTATACCCAGTTTTCATGCCAATTACCACACTTCAGCAAAGTTTACCTTCAGTCATGAGGAATCTGATACTACGTGTGACGTTCTAGCCTACGTTACCCAGTTCTACAATGAATGCCATTGTGCTATTTAGACCGCAACAGATCTCTTGTCGTACTGAGAGATATGTACACTAACTGAGCACCGAATAGTGACCCATTTCATATTTCTTTAGTTCCTTAATGTTGATGGAAGTTAATCATTCAGGTTTACTCTTTTTTAAATATATATCATTGAAATGAAGGAAAGTTTATTTTGCATCAAATGACTCTTGGAGATTTTATTATATAACAAGCAGTCTTCATCAAGGGCACTAGACGTCAGGTGACAAATGTATGTTTTAAGACTGTAATAGCTGTTTCGTCACATTTTAAAGAGTTCCGCAAAATTGGAAAATCTCGATTGTATGTTAAATCAAGTTATCTGATCTGTTGTTATTACTTGACCATCAATTTGGTCTACAATCATTAGCACTTCCAAACTTCAGGTTTCCACTGTTTCTTTAGATCATATCATTCATTGATTGAAATTATCTTTGAGAAAAAAGATTTATCCGGTTATTAAACTTATGGGAAATCGATAAACAAAAGTTTGTGATATATATATATATATATATATATATATATATATATATATATATATTGAAAAAATGTTGTGTAATCAATATCCATCCAGTGGTTTAGCCGGTCGATCATACACTCTGATTCTCTTCAGGTTAAGAGTTATGCCAATTGATATGTCACCAGAGAGAGAGTATTAGTCGCTTTCACAAAAAGTATGGCTTAAAGTGAAAGACACGAATCTGTTACGTAGTAAGTGGCATCGTTATTTCCAACCAATAATAAGCATTACTTTCGAATTGTGCAGAATCACATTTCATCAAGTGTGGTTTTCAATAATTCCGATTTATCATCGTGGTATGGAATTTTCGACCGAGAATACGCTTTTTTTTTTAATTGATCCTGTTTTATGTCTTTGAATTTTCATGGTCTCTTTCGAAAAATCTATTATAATTGTTATTTTATTGATTTTTCAAAAATTCTCTTTTACTTATTCTGTTGATATAGGAAACTAGTCATGGTAGCTTACCTCATGCGTACATTGGACTTTTCAATTCACATGATAATTTAGTATGGATATCTTCTTATGGCGCAGTGCCATCGAGTTTTTGGCAATTGAAATTTCAAAATTCTAAAAAGCAATGCGTTTACATTGATGCTAGTGAGTGTTTTTCTTTCTATGTCATCACTCCGTTTTCAGTCGATAATATGTTCTCTTTGCTTGAAAATAGAAAACTACTTACTGATGTCGGTGGAGGTGTGGATTTTTACCTATTCTGAGGTGGTGGTGATAATCACCCACACAAATATACATACATTCTAAATTGAATTATTCTTGCATAGTAGTCCATGATATTCTGTTGATATGGGACTGAGGTTATTTGCAATTGTAACGACAAATAACAGTTAACATATATTTGTGTTTTCTAGTCTAATTCAGTATAACAAGCAGAAATGATAATATTTGAATTCTTATTTGTCGGCTACTTTGATCGGCGTTACGTATTAGGTTACACAAAGCATATTGATGAATTGTATGTTAATATACTTGTGTATAATGAACGAAGATGATAAGACCAGATGGACTAAGTGATTGATTTACAGAAGACACAGTTTGCTAGCACCGTATCTTCAAACTTCCATTTGAAAAACAATCAGGTTCTTGGCTGTCTTCTTCGACCTATCTTCTAATCTTCAAAACACTTTTAACGTGCCATGTACGCGGATCCGACACTTTTCTCTTCAGTAATGACTCCTGGGCCACACTCTGCTGCATACTACTTATAAGCCACGCTGCCAGTGGTATCCACCAAACTTGTACATGTTGTTTTAGATTTGTACATGGTACTTTATCAAACTCGACATTTCTTATATTCCTTTCATTTAGCAGGGTTATAAATAGAAGCATTCTAGCTCATTCGAATAGTTGTGTGAATGGTTCGACTAGTTGTTGAACTATTCAGTTTCTAACCATTGTAGTTAAAGATTCAAACGTGCCTAATTCGGTGTTTAGTTAGCTGTTTTCAGAATCACTAACGCTGGCACAAGGTGTGGTCAGTGGAATTCAGCCATCTCAGGTGTGAGACAGATATCCAATTTAACTAGTGAAAGTGCCATTGGATTGAAGTTGGACTTGTACACAATTGGATGCTAACTCAATGGTCTAGAGGTTAAGCACTTGCGTGCCGAGATCTAAGTTCGTTGGTTCAATTACCGAGTGTCTCAATAAGATGGAACAAATGTTCCTCCACACCCTCCGTGGTTATCTAATTAAGATCAATACTTAATATAAACTATGAAAATTCAACAATCTCTATAAACCTCCTATGGTTACAAGAAACAGTTGGCTTAAGTGTGTTTGTGTTTATTCGACCGAAATAATTTAAAAACAATTTCCAGTCTATTCTATTAAACCCAAATCGATTTTTTTCTTTTCTGACTAGACTGTCACATAAACAAATCCTTAAGTCTTAATAAAGTAGACTGTTTTCATTGGTAATATAAATACTTATTTAGTCATGTCATGTCACTTACTAAATGCTCTGTTTATTTGAACTTCTCAAATTATTTTCTATTTTTTTCATTATTCACCACTTTGATTCTGTGCACAGAAACTGATGGTTTACAAACATGGGGAACTATTCCATGCACTGAACCATTACCTTATATATGTTCAACTGATCTATCATCCAAATTAACGTCTTTAGATGAAGCGTATGAAAATATGTTATTTTTCAAATGTCCTGAAGGTTTCATGTTAATATTTGGAAGCTGTTTCATGGTAAGGTTATGTTTCTTGCATGTACATATGTTCATTTTGATATTAACAAAGTTTTTACAATCTGAATAATCTTGCCTACTATTAGAGCGCCGAGTACACTGTCCAGCAGTCCATAGTTTGCATTACTTTATATACAGGAAATGCTGCTTATGTGCTTCCGTCACGTTTTTACGGATACTTTAAATTATATCCGTTTGTTTCGGTCAGTTATTCACTAGATGTTGCCATCACAAATGACTTTTTCCGAATGGGTGTTCTGCAATTTTATTTTGTTTAAATTTGTGCAACATTTTAAACCGTATTTTTTTTCCAATCAAATGTTCGGTCTTCTGTGCATTTGAAACTATTACTAGTTTAGTTATGATATGTTTGCTTGCCAGAATTCAGTCAATCATCACTCACAGCACAACATATACCTATCGGTAAAACTTCACGCACATTTTAAGGCATCATCAGTACAACGAAAAGGGAAATTAACGATATGAAAATCAAAACTGTCCATATCATATTTGTATCAGTGATGTTGAAAAAATAACCATACAAAACGAATACCGTCGTGCTATTAAAAAGCAAGTGAAGTAAGGAGAGGATGAGAAACCGGCACTAAAACGCTGATTGTATTTTTGCCACTGTTGCCGATATCTGGAGATTTTCTCGCGGACATGCCTATGAGAAAGTTCGCGTCCCCTACCAACAAAAATCAATCGGAAATTATTGTCTTCATGTTTTAAACAAGTTAACTCATTCCCTATGTTGGTACTCTGTGTGATAAGGCCAATGGCACTCACTATCCAACTGCTTAAACTGAAGCAGGTGGGTTGGGGTTCGAATATGCAGTCTAGTGACCAAAAGTGGAACGCTTTAACCTGCTTTAGCTACTGCTTCACTCTATACATTTGTTTCTGTGCATGCAGTCATTGACTTGTGTTTGTCGGTTAATCATCAACTAATCATTGTTTAAATTTATAAACACGTTCTCTTCTTCATAGTGTTCTCTTTAAATGTTGTAATTATAATCGTTTTTAATAATTACTGTTTCTTAATTCAACTGTTTAAATCAGATTTCTTAACTTTTGTAAGGTCAAAGCAAGTGAACGTGATGCGGTAGACTGGTCAACTGCTTCCAACTTATGTCGAAATGTGCATCCTAACGCTCACCTAGCCAGTGTATCATCGAATGAACAACAAGGTACGTTAATCATTACTACTATACACATGTATTGTGTTACATTGGTTGAATGATAAGTAACCTCACACCGTGTATATAGTACTGCTGGACAAATATCAATTGATATATAATTCCTCTGAATTTTGATTGTATGTTTTTATGAAATACACTAAATCCTGGCAGTAATGTCTTTGACAATACAGATTATTTAAATTTGCTTATTAAATTGAAATTGTACTACTCATAGAGTTTATCCTACAACTGTGCTTCTATCGAGTAAATTTATTGACCTATTAGAACTTCATTTAGTGTTATTGTGATCTGTTGCCGTAAAAAATAATTCAATAACTTGACGATAGTACCGAAGGCTTTTTTCTCTCTCCCATCAAACATTAAGCTATATGCATAGAATGAAAATTCAACGTTCTCAGCCAATCGACATCAGTAGCTTATAAAATTTATTGACTGTTGGTTTGAATCGTATTTTCGTGATATGTATACAAACTACGTGGTGCTGCGATCTATGAGCTAAATTCTTGACTAGTTAGTTGAGATGACTTGATATCAGTCGTCCTGGCTTAGATTTATTCACGTTTTATCTTGATTTAAATTTTGAATTTAAATTTTATCTCATTCTTGTTGTATTTCGCTTTGAATGAATGAGACATTCATCATTCACGGTTTTTTTAATCTTTTCTATGTAAAAAGGCATATTTCATTCTTACTTGATGTTGGCTTCTTTACGTGATCGCTCTTATTTTCAGTAGCATCATAGATCAATAGTGACTTGAAATTATTTGTAAATTTATTTACTTCTGCCAACATGTCTATTTTGTCAAAAACAACAACAACAACATTAGGCTTGGCGCATATTTGTATCAACTCAAATTGTCCAGCTTTTGATCTGTAGTATATAATACAATACAGCGAGAAGAAACCTAATGGATGACAGTTTACGTAGTTGAAATAAAAATAATTTCTGTAATAATAAAATCCAAATAAGCGAAATTTACTTCAGCCGGATGGATGTGACTAGGCAATTAAAACGGCATATCACCTAAGTTATCTGACTACTGAATCGGTTTATTGAGCCAACTGCGATAAGAAATGTTGTACATTCTGACAATGCAACTACGTGAAATCGATTCCAAGTTTTGTCATAACCGTCCATTTGTTTTTGCCAACCTATTCTTACACTAACAACCACTGTTACTTGCTAAAGTAGGCCAATGATTGGGCATACCCTGAAAACTTATTATCTTTGCTCAACTATGTATAAAATATAAATCAACTGCTATCGGACTATGATCGATGCTTCATTGTGTCATTTTATTTTAGATGGTTTAACTGTTCTTATGGACAGTCAACAGTTGTCTGCATGGATTGGTTTAAGTTCTCAACGGAATATTCATACATGGATTAATCGAAATGATATTTTGTATACAAATTGGCGCCCAACCGAACCAAATACTAATGGATCGGTAAGATTATTGATTATCAATGTTGAAATTGGTTAGTGTAAAATTCTACTTCCTTAAAGCATCTAAATCACGAACTCGTCTTATTCGCAATACCATTGAGCAGCTGTTTCATCCCAAATGTAAGATTCCTCAGCAGTAAGATTCGCAACTCTCTCTCTGGCATCATTCTAATTGAATTGAACCATCCTAATAAGTGTAGACTACCTAGTTGGAGTTCGTGTTGTTACCGTCATCAATGACTCAAAATCGTTAGTAATGGGGCAGCTGCATTCCCTTCTTGTCTCCCTCTCGAACTTGAACTCTAAACTATCCTTATAGCATTTTCTTTTCCTATACTTAGTCTTTTTCACTCATACTAACTTTACTAATCTTGGAATGGTCTCAATGTAATTGTCTCTCTGTTCGATCTAGATATGGTAACTTGAACCGGTATAAATTACAGTTGAGAGTATTGTAGACTCTGTGAATTCATTGCTTAGTAATGGACAGGAGTTCAGCGTCACTAATACATTATAAATAGATATTTGTTCATTCATATAGTGTTAGCTTTTTAACCTCCTGTTGCCATACTTTGATTTGAGCATACTTAGCCTTCTTATATAGTAGTAGACACAGTGCCGTTGTGACTGAAAGCCGGTTTTAATGCCTCCTACGACTATCGCTCACTCATTTGTCAGTGTTATGAAAATATTCATTTATTTGTTTAATTATTATTATTGCCTCTTTTTTTATGTTAAAAAAAAAATACTTTTCCACAATGTTCATAGAGTTGTACTATAATGCATCACGAACCAGATTACATTGGTACATGGAGTGATGAACCGTGCAATAAGAAATTCGGTTATATATGTGAAGTTAAACCAAGTAAGTTGTTTTTACCTTTGTTGCCTTCTATTTGATCCATTTAAAGCCTTTTCATCAAGTATATACTTACTAGTATAATATAATATCTTAATTTCAAGGTGCTGGATTACAGGATAACTGTCACTTACTATCACGTAGTGATGAATAGTATTGAAAGATTGAATACATAAAGTACATAGGTGGATGTGATTGTTGTTGAAAGTGTGAGTAAAAAAAGGCTTAACATCAATGAAGGCAGCCATCAAAAGGCTGATCTGCAAAACGCACCTGCTAGTGAGGACGTGCATCGAATAGGAGTGATAACAATTTTAAGGCTTTAAAATTTACTGTCTGTCTCAACCTCCCCCTGCTACAAGTTGTTATATCCTGATACCGACCAATATACATTAATAACCTTTGAGCAACCAATATTACACAAGAATGAGTCAAAAGTGACTGTGAGTAGAGACGAGTGGCAATAAAATAGGAATAGTAATTCGTATGATGATAGTTTATGGATAAATGGAAAGCTTGTGATAGAAAGTTTATATTAACCTGATAATCTTGTAACTTACTTATTTATCCCCAATGGAGCATGGGCCACCGACCAGTATTCCCAGACGTACTCTCTCCTGCGCCTCTTTTTCCAGTTCTGTCCAATTTTTGTTCATTCTTCGCATATCTGTCTCCATCTGTCGGCGTAATGTGTTCCTTAGCCTTCCTAGCTATTTGATAGTTATACAATAATAGTCCATAAATTGGTTCTCGAAGTCACTATCACTTTAATCTTCATTCGGATATAACACTAATTAAAAATGTGCTTTGTTAAACGCTTAACAAATAACCTACTTTCAATAAACACTGCAGTCTGTCTAATCAAGTCACAATTTGTTTTCCCTGTTACTCTAGCCATGTTATATGACACACCTCTTTTGATCAGCAAAGCTGATCCAACTGTGTTTTGCCATTACTGCTTACCTACTCTCCATTCAGTAACCCGCTATCACTCTATGCATTTATGTATTTATAAATCAGAGAATTAGTTATAAGCAACGTACAGCCTACCACATATCTTGGCGGGTTTAAATTCTACACCATTATCCTCACAGGTAGATAAAATTATCAAGGCGAATATTAGTGTAATAGTAATATATATATATGTATAGCTTACTCTTAATTCTATCAGCTATTCGGGTGGGAATAGCACAGCTGCATCATTTTAAAATCTTGAACCGAGTAACCTTGTAGATTCCAGATACTACTAACCATACTACTCTAATCATATAATACCAAAATATGGTGTACTCAGTGTTAAACGTAATCAATCGAAGTCAATCAACACTAAAGGAGAAACTAAGCAAACGTGATATTGACCACTAGTCAACAATCAGTCAATCATTAACAGTTCATTCATGGTTGCTGTATATTGATTTGAATAGTTTTTATACTCCTAAATTCGTTTATCTTCTCAGTCTATTGTCTTAATAATATTGAACCTTTTATACAATATTCAATTTTTTCACTGATTGTATATACAAAATTCAAATTGTTACAGTCAATGAGTAATTTAATGTCTGGAACATTGGGTCATACGTTCCAATTCTGTTATATCCTCTCTTATTTATATAAACCGTTACAGTATCACTAGGTTTATCACATAAAATTATCACTTGATGCTGAGTTTATAAACCAGTGCTTGTAAAATCAGTTTAATTAACCGTTAAAATAACGTTTGAATAAATAAAAATTATGTTACTATTGAAATATTGTAATCTTTGACGTGGATATATATATGGTAAATTATTCAGTTTGATTAATCCCTTTGTGCGCCTATAAATTATAATAGCTGTGGTTTGTGTGTTCACGAAAAATTGGACGTTCTTATTAATGAACTGTATTATGTCTCTTCTTTGATATTCGATCAACTTTTCCTGTCAAACCCATACCTAGTGATTATGTAACCAACCAACAAAAGACAATCAGTCACGTGAATTATAATGCTGATGATATTTGTCCCTTGTTTATGTCCCACCTGTAAGGAACTTTGTTACGGTTTCTTCGGTTCATGTGATTGAGTCGCAGTATTATTGGCTGTCATACCCGAAAATGATAACTTAACATCGTATATATCCAATTGTACACTTGATTTGTTAGGTTTTCATAAATTTTGTACGAAAATTTAATCAGACACATATTTAAATTTCTTCTGTCATATGTCTTGTGAATTATGTAAAGTACATATGTTTGAGGTGTACGGGACTAGAATTAAATTGCGTGAAATTCAATGTTGTGATTTCAAGGTCATATAAACATGTTTTGGATAAACTTTGGGAGTAGTACAACGCTTCTTTGCTTTCTAAATTTTCTCTCAGCTTTTCTGTTTGCCATAGATTTATATTTGTCTGTCAAGTCCAAAATGTTTCAGAAGTGTCAGTATTACAAACGTTCAATTTACCAGTTTTGACCGTTACATAATTGCCTCCTCTATTTCTTATTGACCAACAGTCACATTTTGAATGTGATACTTCATCCTTCAGTGAATTTCGATTCTTTAACATATTATTATTATTATTATTATTATTATTATTATTGTCATTATTTGTTGCCTTTTATTAAATAATACTTTAATATATATAAAAAAAAAGAATTAGCCATTACCAAAAAAGAGAGAGAAAAAAGCAAACAATTACGTCCTTGATACTGTAATTTTATGTATTTATGTGTTTTTGCTGCTTCGTTTCCATTTTAAAAAAAAAATGTTTTTATTATATTTATAACTATGTAGCCAAATCATCGGACAAATCCAATATGACACAACTTTTGGGAATGTTAAAACATGGTGATTGTTTACCTGACTTTTATTATTTCAATAATACTTGTTATTCTGTAATGCCACCACGTCATTCACAACGTAGTGCAGTTGACTTCCGTGATGAAGTAAGCGGTCATTGTTTATTGTCTACACATGCGACTTTTATGAACTGTTTCAACAATCCAAAATGGTTGGGTACCATCGCTTGTCCAGTCATAAAAACACCACAGAGTCAAGTTGAAGCAGCGTTTGTGCGTCTTCTATCTAGAACTATCAGTCCAACTAGTAGCCATGTCTGGGTTGGTCTGAAAATGAACCACACATTGCGTTCGGTAAGTTGAATATATATATATATATATATATATATATATATATGATTAGAAATGACAACTGCCAATGTCATTGATTCATTATTCACATATTGAGTATGCTTAATATACAGTTATTGACTTCTTATTATCATCAAACATTAGTCTTTCAAAGTAAATCACTGAATAATTCGCTCTCTGCAGGCAAAACACACAAAATAACCTTTAAGCACTTAGCTATGTTTGGTTTCTTCTTCTTCTGATAAACGCTTCAGCATCATGTTAAATTTTGTAGTTTGCTTTACTAACTAAACTTCACTGGAAAATCTCTTAATATCAGGAATCACCGGGCAGTCTTTTCATACTAGCATAGGACTTCCCAGACATACACGTTGTTCTGTGCGAACCCCAACCTATTACGTGATTAAGAATAAATGGAAATCTGTAACAACCAACCGTCTAGTATGTCCACAGATTATATATATCCATAAAGATATATATACCAGATATACATCAGATATATTCGCCAAGACTGACCTACATCCGATAGTATGCCCTATTAACCAAGTGTTACCTTGTACTCACTCTTGAGACAGCGTGAGAGTATAGACACATGATTTGGTTCCGGTCGTCTTATCACCATTCAACAATCCCTCTGGCATTCGAATCTCCATTTTTTGCAGCGAGCACTTCACCTTGAGACCACTGAGTTGATATCCATTAGTTGCTTATCGCACTTTAATTAATTCGTGATATGGCATAGCAACCATTATTGCGATTGGTGAGTAGTAGCTGTACCATTCCACTGACCACTAAGTTCACTTATCTTTAATATATATATATATATATATATATATATATATATATATATATATATATATATATAAGTGAGCGGTCATTCCATGTTTTTCTGGATTCATCCCTTTTATTGTGTTGTTTCATCTCCTCCTTTTCGCCAGAGTCATCTGTTATCCGAAGATAATTCTTTACAAACAAGTGCTACTAATTTAATTGATTTCTCTGGACTTCTACGACGTCAGAATAGTAAAACAGTTCCATTAAATCCTAGGAATAACACTGAATCCTATTATGATTGTTTCACTATGCCGATTCATGATGGTAATTTGATGCAAATGACTAATTGTTCAATGCATTTAGAAAGTATTTGCTCATATAAACTTGGTAAGTTTTACTTAAATTTATTTCGACTATGTAATTTTCTTATGTATGTGTACTCCATTTTTTAAACTAGATTTTATAATTTGCTAAAGGCCAATGTTACAGTCTAGTTTTGGAAAAAAACTGTGGTAAATGTTTCCAAGTTCAATCTCGAAACCTGATGACCGACAGTGAACACCTTCGATCATTAAACCATTGCTTCATTACCTAAGTGTTTAAGTCATATATAATCTGTGTGCATCCCACTTTCACACAGTTGATCATAGATTTGAATTCCGCCTTGCAATCACATCGATAATTTATGGTTGTTGATCTAAGTTCCATTTAATAAATAATATCTGTTAAGATAAATGATAAGATATCTTCTGACTGTAAGTTCAAATTGATGTATTCGACTTTGTTGATGTTGCATTCTCTGAGTTGGACGACTTAATCATGATGCATTTATTGTCTGTCAAAACAACAATGTCACCGCAAAAATCAATTCGGAAAAGTAGGCATTCGACTTTTGAATGACATTTTCTATGTGATTGTGTCTATGAAGTCTAAAGGGGGGCGTTAATTATATGATACTCATGTTCAAATATACTGTATTTTAATTTCGACTATTTTACATACTGACATTTACCTATATTTACGGATTAGATGAATCTCCTCTTTAAATAAGGAATGACAAGTATGCTATATGTCAGGTATGTGATATACACGTAATAGTATAGTTTTCACTGAAAATTTCATTTCAAGACCTAACCGTTTCTGTGTTTGTGCTTTTAATCCACCACATTAAGATGATCTATACCGGCAGGTTCGAAACAGACAAATGTGCATAATTTGTCATACTTGAAATGAAATCTCCGACGAGAATTACTTTCTTAAATACAACACCCACCCATTAAACGAAACGTAAATAAATATGCATAGATTTAAGCAGAATCACATGAATTCATGCTATTCTGTTCAAATCTTTTGTTCTTACTCGCTTCAATGTGATAAAAGTGGCATATTTACGTGTAATCCGCTAAAATACCGAAAAACTAACTGCAAACCTTTCTATTGGGAATTTGAAAACGGGCGATTCTTTGCCTGTATACACATTGATTGATTATTGCCAGTATTGTTGTATTTTGAATCGACCATCACCACATAGTAATGTTATTTTTGTTTGTCGCTTCTACAGGAAATAGTCATGTAAATCATGAGTAGACTTGAAGTTCTGTAAGCGACAAGTGTATTCTTCAATCAATGGTTAACTTATCACAAATCAGCTTATATGAATGATGAATGTTTGCGGAAAACAAACTATTTATATCACGAAATGTAAACCGATATCATATGATTAATATGTCTATCAGAGTCTTCTACGTGTTGTTCTGTTTTTTTCTTCAAAACAATAACGTCCTAAGAACACATTATTATTGATATAAAACCACTTTCATAGAGACGCAAATAGATTCTTATTAGTCTCCATATTATTTCTGATTATGATTAGGAATTAGTCGATAAGGCTAAAATTACGCCGATCTCTTAGCATTACTATTTGAGAACAAAATTTATTTCACTGTTCTTTATACATAATTTTAGTGGTCAGTAACATTTAACATTATCATTTTCACCTTGAGATAAAATTACTCAATTTTTCGTTTGTCATTATCAATGTCATGAGCATTATTGGGAGATCTTTCAACTGTTTATTCTGGAATTCAGCATAAAAATTAATAAGTCGTTCTATGCATTCCGTTTGCCTCTTTCGTATGCTACATTTTTATGGAAACATTTTAGCTTTCAATATTTTAATAACTACTACTAAGTTACTTCTATTGGTGGTCGTTTTGTAGTGTAAAATGAAATATTTTCGCCAGAATTTATTTTACACACACACACACACAGACCTTGAATATATATTTTATTACTAGTAGAGAAAACCGAAGAAAAAACTTACGTAGTCGTGTGAAGGCTATCTCAGTGTACCATATTATTATTATTATTATTATTATTATTATTAAGCGTTGTTCTTTCAATTTATGTACACACCATGTCTACATCATTCATGCACTGAATTAAATAAGTTAAATACATGAAACACTAAGAAATTAGGTTGTTATTCAAGAAAATTAAAATTGTAATAATTTTGGTCATCATCATTGTTGTTGTTGTTGTCGTTGAGTGTACTCTTTCGTTAGTTCTGTGTGTATTGTTTTTGTATACGTGTAAAAGCATGTTGTCAATGAGCGGGTGGAACATACCTGACCTAAGAAATAAGACTTTCACTGTTAGGTTATATAAGTATTTGACCCATACATGGTGTTGCCATAACAACATTTAGTGCATATTGATCAGTTGAGCAGTTAGGTTTTTGAATGTAAATAGATAATTGATTGATAAAGATATAAACCTTTATCATCGGTTAGGCTGGATAAGATATCTGTCAGCAAAGCCTGAACACCATATAACCGTATTTATTGATTGAATTCCAGATGAAGTTGTGTGTACGCACTTATTCTGAGTTCTGTTGGGGGTGTACACTACTTGCGATGTGGCTTATAAGTAGTATGAGGGAATGTGTTGCTTAGAAGTTGTTGCTGTAGAAAATAGTGTCGGATCCGGACGCATGGCACTATCAAAGCTTTTTGAAGAATGGAAGATATGTGAAAGAGCACAGTCGAGAATTTGCTTGTTTTTCACATGGAAGTTTGAAGATAAAGTGTACACATGTCACTAACGAACTCTGTTTTCTCTGAATAAATCACTGATTTCATCCGATCCTTTGTCTTCGTTCATTACTGTGTAACAAATCGAAACATCGGCTTAAGGTTTTCCGGTTTTCAGTGTTCTTTTTTTTCCGAGAACCGACCTTGATGTAAACTAAGATATTCAAACTGTGGTTGTTTTTCCCTTTAAACTATAATATTGTAGAAAAAAATCAATTACCACCAAGCACTATTCAACAATTAATCAGTTTACCATGTCCAAAAGGCTGGATATCATATAAAGAGAATTGTTATCTTTTACCATCGTTACGCGAAAGATTAAATTGGTCAGATGCAGAACGTGTCTGTCAGGAAAAAGCAAGTTCCATTGTAAATCACCAATTGCCTAGCAATGGTCATTTGGCCTCGGTACATTCTTCGGATCAATTACAATTTCTCATTGGTCGATCATTGTCATCATCATTTTGGATTGGTTTGAAAGTTTTTTGTAAGTTTTGTCTTCGGTTTTTTTTTAATATTTACTTCCTAACGACTTGATTTTAAAATTAAATTGAGCTCACATACTTCATGTGTGTAAATGCGAAAACAAATTCATCATCAACATCATCATCAAATTATTGAAAATATTTATTTGACTGCCAACCAACTGCTTCGTTTGATCTCTTTTATGCACAAAGAAATGTAAATATGATTGATCTCCACCTGATAGTTTGTTTATATCACGAACTGATCTCAGTTAGACAATCATTAAAGATCAGGAAGTACTGGATACCGGTTTCGTTTCAATGCGTATCTTCTAAGTTGTGCGTATGTAGGTGATCGATCGCCTCTAAGAGCTTCGGCTTTTAGAAGTAATAGTGCCTAACTTTTTTACCACTGAGCAATTTAAATTCCTAACTTCAATCAATTTTAGAAATTTTTCCACCTTCGGTATATTACGGACTATAACATTCAACATTTTATTTTTCAGTTTTCCCTATGTAGTAATAAAATACAAATAAATCAGTTTAATGCTTTGTCACTGTTTTCACTGTTAGTGAACAAAATTTGTGGTTAAAAGGGGTTAGTTTTGGTGGATCAGTTGTTCTCATTATAATGGATATGCAATCAGTTGACTTAAACGTATTTCCAGTTCTCCTGGAAGCATTATCGATAAAAATTACCTCACTAAGCCGGTTTACTTGCGTTGGTTATCTTGTTAGGGAGGCAGACGTTAGAATTATTTCCATTGAAAGTATTGAAGTTCAAGTTAGGAAATATTAGCATTGTTCACAAAATTATCATTTATTATATTAAAATGGTGTTTTCACACACACAAACAGGTTAACAGTAGTATATTGACACTTTTGTTGTCTCACCTTGGATCCAATTTATATTATTTTTCTCTGGCTTATGCTTTTTAAAAGTGAGTGTTTTTTTATTGCGCAGTATGATAATAAACATTCATCCTTCTATGTTCTACGACGATCACTCTCAATTTCTTATACACCATTCAAACTTAGTTTTTAGTTTATGCAGTTTAGGTTTAGCTAAGAATGATAAATGGAGGTCTGAATCTAAGGTCACAGTGCAAAAAGGCCTTCTTTGTAGACATATTGATGAATAGTTATGCAGTTAATCCTATGGATACAAATATCAATGACTTATCATAAATAACCTTCCACAATTCTTAAATTTCATTGTAATGTTCGACAGTTTTTTTTTCGATTCAAATGTTAATCAATCTCACACAACTCATGCTGGTTATTAATTTTTAATTAACTTTTAAACCTCTCATTATTATGTCTTAAATTTCGCTTAAAACTCACAGTCTCTGTGTGAAATAGTTTTACCACTGAACCAGACAGGATAATGCCCGTAATATAGTAATAATAATATTAATGATTGTAATCATAGTAAAAAAAATTGACGAATTCAATCCTATTCTGTCATGTTACTTCAACTTATTGTGTATTTTCAATTAACTGATAATAAATTTCTAGTAACCTGCGGCGTGCTAATCGGAAGAAGTAAGTCATCAACCGAAAACCCTGAACCTTGTTTTTGTGCTCTTTGGTACTCATCACCAAGACGTACCTGTAATCCAAAGGAAACTGATGCTTTATAGCGGATTAAAACCTGTATCCATTGGGTCACAGTCAGACACGTTGTCACTGAGCTATTCGGGTAACGGCTGACTTAAGATACATGACAATGATCACTTCTCCGTGGTCAATAAGTTGTAAATAGTCATGTACATACGTCCAAGATGATGGATTGATAATGAACACTTTGTTTCGACCTTAGCCACTTCAGGGTTGAAATATTGAGCACACTATTATTTCAATTAATATTCGAACTACCTAAGAAAAATCTCTTAAAATTCTTTCAAACACTCAATCTTCTCATATTTGATTAGGAGATAATTTACACACAACATGAATGTCATTTACGTGTTTGGGTCGACTATGTATGGCGAAATACAGATAAAAATAAAAGTTACTTAATCTAAGCAACAAAGTTAGGATCAATCATTAAATTTAAAAAGATATTGAAGAAACGAAGAGCGATCCGATCTTTTTGTCTGATGTGATAGATAGTCTGTTAATATTCTTAAGGAAAACCAGATAAAGCTAAGCCAGGTTAACGATAAAATACACTTTCTAATTCAATTTAAACTTCTAGTAATTACATCTTTTCAATTATCTTTAAAATTGAACAGAAACAAAATTAAAGCTGTATAATTGACAACATTTTTATTAGTAGTATGCTGCACGCTAGTATAGACTTCATTTAAATTTTTTATAAGTCATAGTCACTCACTGCGTGATATACTGCTACACTTTTCCATTGTACAGTACTATTATTAACAGAATGTTAATTCAATATCTTTGACAAATATAACTGTTAACTATCAGGCTTTATTGTCTTTTTCATATCTCCTTATACTACTCCCCTTATCTCTAAATCGGCTGTTCCTCATCAATAGATTCTGGTATTAAACCGACATCATCGGTAAATTTAGCATGGAGTGACGGGTCAGTTATGGATTTCTCTCTATTCCCTTCACATCATACTTCTGCTACACTAAATGTACTAGAAAATCCAGAAAATTGTGTCTCAGTCAATGAACAATATGCAGGCTCTTCATGGGGTATAAATAATTGTATGGAGGAAAAAAGTTATATCTGTCAATTGCCTAAACTAGATCTTCTGCAACAACAGCAAACAACTGTCACGGATGACAAACGAGGTAAATGTGTGTGTGTGTATGTATGTATGCGCTTGTGTGCCTAGATAATTAACGACTGTTGCATTTGTCTTATATTAGAAGAGTTTCAATGGTAAAGTAGCCAGAACGCTTACGTTTGTTAGACTTTGCTTTAATTTGATGTTTAAATTAGACCAACTATTCCCCTAAACAGCGGTCTCTTTTAGATTGTCCGTAGCTAAATAATAATTGGTGGTAGTCGATATTAAATGTGATCATCTCCAAAAATCTAAATGTATCACGTCTCAGGTCTCTGAGGTAATCAATAACCTTCCCTCCAATAGATGGTAACCTGGGTCAACATGTACTTATGCCATATTATTTGTTGATCATGACTGACTGACCCGTGGATTGTTGATAACCCTTGTCGAACGATGTCAACAAATTTCACATTAATCCTCTACATTGTATGGAAGACTTAAGATCTTGTTTACAATGGTAGAAAAAATAGTATATTTGTATATTGATGTTGAATTGTATTTACGAAGCTGCAAATCAATGAAAATGAATTTAAACATTAGACTCAGTAGAGTGATCATTACCGGTGTGCAGTACATGTTAACGTATTTTATCTTATTTTTGCCAAGTATTTCTATACACACACACACACACACACAATACCGGTGTTTCGTATTACACTCAGCTGCTCTATTAAAGACCGGGATTCCATAACATGAAAGATTGGCAGTAAAAGTTCTTCTCTCTATCTGTTTTATCAGGATGGGAATCAAAAAAGGATGATAACTCTCAGAACTGTTATAACTTTTTATTGATGATGTGATATTGTGATCAGGCGTTTTTGTGTATAAGCAATGCGTATTTTAAATATATGATTTGTATAGTGGAGGTTGGCTACGTACTTCTCAACTGATCGAGATGGACAACGAGAGAATGTCTACTACGTATTGCATTTCTTAATTAACCAGTTTAAACAAGAATAACAGTTTATGTTTTAATATCATTTTCTTATTCTCTTTTGAATACAACATAGAACACAAATCAACACTACCTACTAGTACTACTGTCGACTGTACAGAGAAATCATTTCCAATTCCTAGTAAAATTGGTCCATATTGTTATAGTGCCTTGTTAAATGATGCAACCGATTGGAGTAATGCCGAGTCATCTTGTCGTAATATGCATCACAGTGCACATCTTGTTTCAGTTCATTCGCATGCTGAATTAGATGAAATTGTAAGTATGACTGATTAATAATTACGTAATACGTAATGTGAATATGAATTTGATCAAAAGGAATTTAGCCAAACTATTGACGTGTTTATTGATTTAGGGTTGGGGGTGGCCATTTTCTGAAGCAAGTTTGGTGCAGGCAATTTTAATACATCATCGATTCATCGATTCATTGACTATTGTTATTAGATTCAAACTATATCTGGTTAAGATCTATGAAATTATTGTTACCAGAATAGTTTGAGATACCCACTAACATGTCCCTAATTCATTCGCTCTTTCATTTGAACATACTTGTATCATTCATTTTTGAAAATTAATTTTTTCCTCTGTTATCATATTGTCTATGTTTAATCTTTTCTGTCATTATTCCTATCATTATTACTTCTGCTAGTCTGGGATTTGTTTGGATAGTATTATCTCACTATGCTCATGTGCATGTGGCATGATTGCATCGGCACCTGAACTAGTGATAGGGAGTGAAGCAGTTGACCGCTTCACTTATCTTGGCAGTCTTACCCAGTGCCTATGATATGACGTGTGACGAAATCTGTGTGGTATGGCAACTTGAACTGATGTGCTTGCGTACGAAGTTCTACGTTCTAGTTGACTAACTGACTGACTGACCTATGATTGATTGGATTGACTAAGTGACCTGAAGACATAATTCGAATAATTTTGAAGGTCGAACATGATTTTAGATTGTACGCTCATAATTATGTAATCTAGTAATTCGACTAATCGTTAATATTACTTAGTATGTGTATGAATTGCTTCTGGGTGATCAGGGATTTCGTGATAATTAACCAGTAAGTTCATTAATAATAATGAATTATCGAATCCATATCTTGACTTCTAAATTTAAAAAAAAACAATATTTTACTAGATCTCGAGTTGAAGGTTGTACGTTGTGAACGATCTCTATTAACATTCACGTTTCACGTGACAACACTTATTTATTATAGAGTTATTGAAAGAGATCGTGAATCACTCATTTTCGTCCATTTTGTCCTAGTATGGGTCTCATCAGCAGTACGCATCCATAACTCCCGCCGCTCGCATGAATTAAACCCAAGACCATTGGTTTTGCCCGCGAACGCCTAACCTCTGAACCACTGAGATGGCATCCGACAGTGTTATTGTTTAACGCTGATCAGTTTAAGGTTCGGATTGTGCGAGTACCGGGAGTCGTGAATCGCTCACTTCTGTTGAATTCCATACTAGGACGAAACGATCGTCCAGTGCTTCCAGGTTTCTAATGTTGGTCTTACGATGAATAATTCACGATTTCAATGTCACACACTTTTTTATTATGAATATGTTCATAATTAATATATTCTGATCAGTGGTTGGTAAATGGTAATTAAATTAAATTTTCAACATCTCCGATGTAAAGAATACATTTAACCTTTCATTTCACAAGCCTATTGATCAACAGTCCAATTTATGTTCATACTTATTATTCACATAGTTTTGGTTTTGATTGTATTTTTTTAAGTACCCTGATATTGTTTGCTTTAAATTCATGACTAGCAGGCAGTTTTTCTTCAATAACCAGCTAGTGTTTATTTTCAACGTAAAGTATAAATACCTCTATAATTAGTTATGCTACTTGTATGTATGTAGTCTACATTTTTCTTTACAACTGTATATAATTTCTGTTTAGACTGAAATTATTCATCGAAATGCACAACCGACGCGCATTACATGGATTGGATTGTATGAGTCGAACTTTGCTTATAAATGGTCTGATCAAAGTGATATTGATTATATACCAGTTTCAGCGGATATCAGTAAAGAGTCAAGACATTATATGCAAGATTGTTTTGCACTGGATTCAGGTTTGTTTTATTCATTTTCTGAAAAATAAAAGAAACTGAACAAGTCGAATTTTAATTAATGCAATAGGGAAACGGTTCCGTCGGCTGTCGGTAACGACTACAACGGCTGGCGTAGCACTCAAAACAGTCCAGAACCGAAGGACCGGTGCTCCACTCTTTCTTAATGGACACAGGAGCAGGAATCAGCATCGTTTTTCCCGTGAGCGATAAAAACGAAATATTATTACTCCACTAGCTCCTTAAGCAGCGAATAAATCTGACCTAAAAGCATATGGGAAGAGAAAGTTTCTTTGAATTTCTGTCGGAGTGCTTCATTTTGTTGGAAGTTCGTCATAGTGTATGTATCAATGCCTATAACCGTTAGTGATTTCTTGAAGAATTTCGACTCATTAATAGTAACCAATAATAGAAACCAGCTTTGAGAGGAGACCGTACAATCGTAACAAAAAGGGTTATTAACCGACCATTTATCTATGAATTTAGTAGTGTAAAAAGACAAAAGCGATATTAGTCCCTTCTAAACGAATATGCCGATTTGTCAAGAGTGTTATCACTGATCTTAAACATGCAATGCAGCGCCGCATTTTAACGAAAGGTCCACTAAGTAACGCAAGCCTGTGAAGGCTGGACCCAAAAGGGTAAAAATACCGACCAATTGATGAAGCCGTCTAGCAGTCCCTTGGCATCCCCGTTGCACGCGGTTCAAAAAAGGGATGGAGAATCCAGATCATCTGGTGATTATACATCGCTTAACAAACAAACTCTGGCAGATAAATACCCGGTACCATACATCCACTACATTAATAACGACATGGAAGGTACCAGAATATTTTCAAAGATTGACCTTATTAGGGCTTGTTACCATATTCCCGCAGTCCCAGAAAGTATACCGAAAACGGCTGTAATCACTCCATTCGGGCTATTTAAAATCTTGCTAATGGCTTTTGGTTTAAGTAATGCAGCTCAAACTTTCTAGCGATTCATCTACCAGGTCGTTCGAAGTTTGTCATGGGTATATGCACATATCATTGATATATTAGTAGCTAGCGCTACAGCGGAAGAACATCTACAGCCACTAAGATAGTGGTTTACGAAGTTACAAGAACATGACGTTGATATTAACGTTGTAAAGTGTGAATTTGGAAAGAAATCACTGCAATCCCTAGGTCACATGGTAAATTCTCAAGGTGTCACGTCAGTTACTACAGAGGTTGCGGCTATTCTTGATTATCCGTTTCCCGAATCACAAAAAGATTACGACAATTCCTAGGTCTAATTAGCCATTATAGACGATTCATTCCAAACTGTGCAACCGTATTACAACCATTGATAGATGCTTTGCCAGGACATGCCTAGGCATTTCACCTCTCAGAAAATATTATATAAGCATTTGTGATCGCTAAGCGACTGCCAAATGAGAAGCATACAGTATATTAAAGTCAATAATAACGAAGTAGCGGATGCAGTCTCAATAACGATGATAAGCACTCTAATTCAATCTGAAATAGATTATCACAAACTAACCTTTTAATGTTAGTCGTTTAAATTATTCGATTATTGTCTTGACTATTTCGATACTTGAAATAATAATGATGTTTTTCAGCATTGAATCAAAAATGTGGATTGTGTCAAGCATTCACGATTTGCAGTAACGGTTAGCAAGACGAGAATGGTGTACGAAGTTTGAGGATATATCGAATATCCACCGCCACAAACTACACTAGTCATCGACAATTAATGTCTTATCGAATTACAAAATCCTAGTGAATCGGACTGATGTACTTACTACAATACGTGAAAGCTTCACAGTTTATTTTTATGTGATGGTAACGCATAGTTCATAAGATGTATCAAACTCTGAAGAAATTAATCTCTACTGCTCATTGGTTTTTGAATGGAACTCACAATTTTCCGTCAAATATCATCTACCTTCAAAACGCAAAAAATAAGAAAATCACAATCCAGTTTGCTTAATTAAACGTTCTGTATATCTGTGTGTATACCTGTCATCATGTTGTTAGTGGTTTGAGTTGTAACCTAACTTAACCAGTAGTAGTAGTTGTTGTCTATACAATTTGACTCAGTAGAATTATTTCTAACCCAGCAGACCTCAGTCACACTTCAACAATTCAACCGACAAAAAGTAGTTACTCATAGCAACAATTAAGAAAAAAAAATGAAAGAAATGAGCGTTGCTTCTATATGCGATGTGCTAGAGTTGATGTATCGTTCTTTTTTTTCTTAAGCCTTAATTCAAACATGCCTACGTCGCATGGAAAATGCTTCAATAAATTGCTCAACTTTTACATTATATTTAACTACACGTATATATCTGTCTGATGAGAATGATGACGATGTTGAAAATAATTTTTTTTTCTTTTATTCTTCTTCTTCTTCATAGGAGTGAATTCATCAATTCATTGGAAAGCTGTACCATGTAATAAACCATCTTTGAGTTTTATATGCCGAATGAATGTTAATCCATCGACTACAACCGTACAACCAACTGTAGATGGTGGTGATTTATCAACACGCCTAATATGTCCTCCTGGTTTCCGATTTCATCGAGATCGTTGCTTCCAAGTAAATTATTATCATTATTGACTAAGTTTATTTTGAACGAAATAGTACTTTGAGTGTATTTGGCATGTGAGTTATTTTGTCAACGAAGGTGTTACTACTGATTTATTCAGGTGCGAATTGAACAAAAATATATTGTCAACAAAATACTGCAACCGAGAGGCAGACAGCACAAAATCCAGTCGCAGGGCTCCTTGCTGACTGACTGACTGACTCTTCTAACCCATCTAAAATGTGAAATTGAATTGAATAATTTCTAAATTGAACGAACGCCTGTGTCCAATACACCTCATCATAACCTTCGATTTATCTACAGTGAAAGCATATTCCGTGTGTGTAACCATTTAGCTAATTCTAAATTAAATATCATTGTTGTTTCATAAAATTCTACCTGATTGAAAACGATTGAATTTTGTGAAATAGCATACAACTCCAAACAGTGTCATCCAGGGTTTGTGTACATAACTGAAACTACTCATATATATATATATATATATATATATATATATATATATATATATATATATATATCAGCTAATTATGTACTTCAATGTTATGTGTACAAATAGTTTGGTATGTCTGAAATTTCAGAGTATTATTATTATTATTATTATTATATCACTCTCACCATTGATTTGTGTTCTGTTGCAAGCCACTTGCAATTTTTCTCTATTCTTCTGTTCTATTTACATGAAATGAAATGTGGGAAGTTCTTGAGTTGGTTTTTGTTGTTCTGATTTCCTTCTATTTTTCTTTTACTGATTATTATTATAATTAAGGCGTAGTTTGTGTGTTATTGATATACAGTTTGATTTAGATTATGATATTAATTATAATGGTAATAATAATTATTATTGTAATGTACTGTGAATTATTGTGCTCTGGTATTTATTCAATTATGGCATGGTCTTCTAATTATTAGTTATTACTACGTGTTTATTTGCAACATACTATCCAATAATCAGTGCCAACATAAGTTATTTTATATTGCTTGAGAAAAAAATAGAACTATGATATATATTTTACGATTGTTATTTTAGTCAATGAAGAAATCGGCTTCTTTCCAAACAATAACCAGTCAACATAATGGCAGATAACCCGTGGTTACACTGTTTGGAGAATATTTAAAAACAGAAATTATGTGATCCGACGTTATTACAGCCTATTTAAAAGATCGCATATTGATTGCTTCATCAGATGAGTTTATCACAAACTTGACTACCGATTATGGTAATGTTCATCGCGATAGAGTTTATTCGACGTTGGATTAGAGCATATGTACACTGACAAATTAATTGGAGACACTTACATTATATAGAAGGTTGTCCTAAACTTTGTTGAGATACTTATCAACAACCTTACAACTTGATGATAAACGACTTGAGGCTATTAGAACCTAGTTCTTTTTAATACCACAGATACACGTTGTTGACATTTGCCGTCAGCTAAAGTAAACGTTCGTGTGGGAGATTTTTTCAACTACATTCACGTAGACAATGTGTGTGTGCAGTGCGGTGTTTCTAGATATGGTTGAATTTGTAAATAATCCTTGTCAATAATCATTCATTTTGTACAATGCTTATTGTTAACTGTGAAACATTCTTTGTTAAAGGTTTAGTGCAGGTTTAAAATATCGTCTTTGATTGGTTCTCTTCTAAATCGATAACTGCAACTAACACATATGTCTTGAACTCACGATGATTAACATAAATAAAGATATGTTGTAGGTGAGACAAGCAGTACAGAATGACTTGGTAATGCTGTGTATGCACAGAATAACAAATCCATGACCCTTATGTGCACAGAAATTTACCGTACTTGAAACAGGGACTAACGATCGGAAGAGGTGAAGGTCATACGAAAAACTGGTTTAGAAAAACTTGCTAATAATGATGATCATTACTACTAAGATTTCAGCATTGTTAATGTGATTTGATTATTCGTGTAAAGTTGCTTTTACAAAATCACAATATCGATTTCTTTGTCTTACCGATTGCCTTTCACAAGATACTCATCACTTCAGTCTAAACGCGTCTCCTATCGCATTGTTGTCAAATAGTCAAGTGTTTAACACGCTTACTGTATAGATTCAGGTATTATTCTAACATTCAAATGTAGAGATTGATTCGATCCTACCAAATCTTGCTTATAGATTTGTAGACTTATCATAGACTATATTGATGTGTCCACACAACACGATTATTTGCAAGTAACTGTTTATTGTTTGTAGCAGTATTTCTATTGAATATACGCTGGTTTTTATAAACTTGGTCTGATCAAACGTTGTTAAGCTTCAAATTTTTACATTGGATCATTTACATTGAACCATAGTAGGGCACAACAAAATTTGTGAAAGCATTAAGTACTTGATGCTACATTCTACAGAAGTTTTATAATTCATTTATCTTAATCCTTCCGGTGTCACTGTCCTTCCAAAGCCCGAATTAAGTAGTAGGAACAGACATTGGGTTAGCAACTCCATCCTATAGAAAACCAACTTCCTAGAAAAAACGCTAACCAGATGGTCGGCGGTTTATGCTCCATTGGAGGGTAACAGGCGTAAATAAGTAGCATTATTATGCTTAAATCTAAGTTCTAAAATGTTTCATGGCCACTGTGAGCGCTTTCCACATTTCTATGTATATATATGTTTGTTAGGTAAGTTAGGTTAGAATTATACATAATTGCTTATTTGTTTATTATTATCCACATGGTTAAACTCTAAACGATTGTGATTTATAAGAATCGTCATTACTAATTCTTAACCTGTAGTTATTCACCATATACACCTGTTTATTGGTTTTTTTTATTCATTTCAAGTATATAATACTAATAAAAGAGGACGACTATTAGAATTAGAATGTTAAAATATACCATCTAATATACACTAATTTATTTTGCTTATAATGGCTTCGTTTTTTTTTGTTTTCGTGTCGTTGATAATTTTAACCTGAGAATAAATCTAATCGATTGTGCACTTTTATTAATCCCGATTAAAATTGTTGGTGAACATGTCTTTGAATATGTATGTGTGTGTGTGTGTGTGTATGAATTTGAGAGAAAGGATTTTTATTTTAACTAGAGTATGCAACAAGTACTTATTGATAATTTTTGAAAACAGATAACGATTTTATATCTCGACTGGTCTTGGTTGGCCTAAAATAGATTCAATTTGCGAACGATTGAGGCTTCATATATATATATATATATATATATATATATATATATAAATGTTTATGTAACAACTAATCAATCTTTCAAATGTTTATTTATAACTCTTTTGCATTATTATAGCTAATCACTGATAAATTCACCTGGAGTGAAGCCGATCACCATTGTCAACATATGGTAAAACCATATCCAAATTACAAGGGATCATTGGCTCGTATCGATAATGAACTTGATCAACGTAAGAAAAAAGAATCACTGTTGTATTTGTCATTATTATTATTATTATTGTTACAATTACTATTGTCAGTAGATTGTTTATTATTGGTTCGTGAAATATTGCTCTGGTGTGATGGGAATAATGGTATGATGGCTTGGAGCGAATAACTTCCAGTCATCAGGCTTCGAAATTCAATTCTGACTCATTTCTTTATACGTGGGCCAAACCAATTTTACGTGTCTATCTGTATTTTTTTAAAATGTCCAGTGTCTACTTTTTTTCCCTGGAAAATTATTCGCACTGTTAAAAAATAACCGCTGGCTTAGTTCTAGCAAAGTCGGATTGTGACTATCAGTGGAATAAAGGACTCACGTTTCATCCTATCTAGGATTTGTCCGCTAGATCTATCTGCATTCCAGTGTTGATATTCACGCTGAGACTCAAAACAGATTTAAACACTAACCTATTTTCCATTGAACCAGCTTCTGAGTCCTCCTCTGGAGATACTTCTCATTAACGAAGAACATGTTCTATTTGCTGGACCTTGTCGTATTAATTAATCAACCTGAAGTACAACAAATCTAACATAATTTAAACACACAATCTATTGTTTTTCACACACCGAATCACTGTTCTATAATTGATAAAAATATTATTAAATTTGAGAGATCGTTCAGTTCTACCTGTTAGTATCTGAATAAAAGATTAACTTAAAAGTTGAAACGATTATAGTACGTAGTATTGTTTAATCCGTCAGTCAATGATTACTTAGTATCGATCGCTGAAGAATGATTAGAATCTAAGATTTTAAGTAAAAAAACAAAACATTTCTGAGGAATAATGCATTTAATCTCGTGATATTATGTATTTTGTGAAGTTTAAGGTCACTGGAAATTTTGTCGAAAGCATTTATCTTGTTGTCTTGTCTTATTTGTTATTACGCTGATATAAAGTACGGTTACCTGAGAATTCTCAAATTCTGGTGTCGTTGTGTCCTTATACTGTATACTGATCGACATGTACTTTCCGGTGATTTGGATTGGTGATTACCTAGAGTTCTCTTGACTAACTGTGACCACTAGTAGAGATTTCACTCATGTTTTATGAAGTTCAAACATCACGAAGAGCAATAGATGACTACCGCACAAAATCTCATGCACTGACGATATTTAAAGCATGGAATATCAATCCATAAATCTGAATGTAGATCATTTTTCTCAAGGTCTGAATTTCCTATATTCCATCCTCAATAAATTCGAGGATGTGCACTGCTAAAATGAAACAACTGCGCTTCCTTTTTTAGTATTTATCCGTGATATTTTACTACAGAGTCTAACAACCGCCATAATCCTCTACCCCTTAAATACATACCTTTAAAATAAACAGCTGCCTTCAAAGGCATATAATCCTTTCATCCAAGTCCGCATGGAACACTTATTTATTGAATAAATTATATCAATACCAATGTACGATATACTCACCGCGATACATACAACCCCCCCCCCCTAGTCGGCTACTTCAGAAATAAGACAAGAACAGAAAAGAAAGTCTATTAGACTACCTACAGATATATATATATATATATATATATATATATATATATATGATGAATCGATTATCTACGCTATATTCCGAGACCGTCCGATTTACTTACAGACAAGCACGTTTCCTTCACGCACGCCCAACCTGCCTTAAAACTAAATAGATTGTAAAATGACTGGGTGACTGTACGATGTAGGTGTATACGTCTATATTTGCGACCTACATAAAGAAAGATATACGATTATTGAGCTAATTTCTGTCTGCTTCATTTATTTTGTTCATTTCTTTGTTTCATTTTATTTCAGAGTTTCTAGCAAGTCTGTTAGATAATCTTGAACCTGAAAAATCATCTGCAGTCTGGATTGGTCTGTATCGGGATCTATCACATGATTCTCACAGCTACAATTGGTCAGATGGTAAAAAGCCTCAATTCATTAAACCAGTTATAAGAGATCATCAATTTTCTGTTTATGGTCAAACTTTTCCATCATCACCAAAAATTCCAGTTGGGCTGAAATCGATGCGTGTATGTCATAGTTCTTTATTTCACATGGATCATTACTTGCAACTAGACAAATGCGAAAATTAATCATTCGTTTATTTCAGTTTTCACACTTCTAGAGAATACATTTCAATCTAACACATCTACTAATCGATTTATGGTTTTCACTGTCTATCTTTAATAAAATATAAATGGTATTAATAATAATCCCTTGGCTACCCAAACTAAAATGGGTTGCGTGTAATCATAAACGTGCATCCTAAGCGGTTGAGGTTTTTTCCAACTAATTAACTAATTCTACAGATTGAAGACACTTTGTACAGTTGTGTCCCCAAATCTTCCTGTAGTATATACCTATGATCAGTGTATAGCGATTAAGGCTTTCAACCACTAGGCTCCTAGTTCGAGTCCCACTTTGCCTATTTTGGTTTGGATAGCTGAATGGGATGTATCACTGCTTACATACATGTTGTGTGTAAGACAGAGACAAATGCAGAAATGTGTACTTGACAAATGAGTTTCAAAAATACGAAGAAGGAATACTGGTAATGTCATATAAGTTTCAAACTCTAAGATCTTACAGTTGCTTTGAACAATATGAATCTCTGTAACCACTATCTATTTGAGATTGATGTATTTGTTGGTGTGCAACAAAAAAAATGTATCATTTACCGGAATAGGCAGTAACAATTACTAATCCGAAATGATTTTGTGTCATTGATCTACTCACTTGAAAACTATGCAAATTTCTAGGCAACATCTTTTATTCAAGATGAATATGCTTATTGAAATGTTCTTTAGTGTATATTTGTTGTTTGAAAATAAACTCACGATTTTTACGACTATGAAGACGTTTGGATATCATGTACATCAGCTTAGTCTAACTTCAAGCGTATCAATAGGTTTAAAAAATTACATAAAGTCACACGAACTAATCATACTTAATTCATTGATGAATGATATAAATATTATTTTTAAAAAAATACATTATTTCATGCATTTTAATCCATGTATTCACATTGAATTTGAGCGTTTCATGACTGAATTTCTCCTCATCCATGTTATTCATTAAATTGCATGTTTGTTCGCAAGCCTGTTTTAGATCAGTGTTGACGTTTTCCCGATGATTGATAAATATTTTCTTGTTCTATAAAGTTTTCTGCTCAACAGTTATTTTTTCATAATCACCATATTAAGCAACCGATATTGCTGATCATAAGTTGCTCATCGACTAACTTCGATTTGTACATAAGCTAGCTGCCGTCTTGACGTTCTTAGTCCGCCTCATCACAAGAAGAAGACATTTTTTTAAAAAGTTGAATCAATGAATTATTGAATATTGATCTCAATCAATGAAGTTGTTTTATAGTAGTAGCATCTAATATTAAAACAGTTTCCTGTCACGTCGTCACGTCATTAGATGACATATATTTCTTGTCTGTTTTCGCTTTCTGAATGTAACTAGCACTTTTTAATTTGAAGCACTCTTATTATCTTAATTAGAACTAAACTTTTACGCCAGCTTTTACCAACCTTTGTATTATTTATTCAAATATTTGTATACGACTTCTCGTCTCTGTGTTAAATAGCTATGCACTTCAATGTTTCGTTCAACCAATCCAAGATTGAATGGAATTTGGCTTCAATGGTCCTGTGATGAACCAATTTATTTGGGTAGTTTATGTCAAGCTTCACCAATCTACCATTATACACCTGTGCATCGATTGTCAATTGGTTCCGACCAAACAGAGCCATTTTATTGTCCATCAGGTTTCCAGTTGGGTACAACTGGTCTTTTGAGAATAAAAGGCAATTCAATGGCTAAACTTTCTCAACCCATGTGTTATCGTGTATTCAATCATGTCAGCGAAATGGATTGGGCTGTAAGCTTTATGATTGTTTTTATTCATTTGTTGGTTCGTTTTATTACAGTCTAAATGTCCATGAATTAACTGAATCTATATGCATCTAAACCATCAGGTCCTAACTGTGTGGTCTAAAGTTTCATTAATCTCCACGAGGCTTTACGTTACTTCTTCCAATCCCCGGAAAGGTCATTGGTACGTCCTGCTGAGGAGTCAGTCCTACAGGGAAATAAACAACTATTCAGTGTTCCCCAGCTTTTATTAGTTGTCTAACTAGTATCAGTTCATTATGTAAGCTACTAAATGCCTTCTGCCAAAGAATGAATTTTTTTTAAAGCAGACGTATTGCTCTGGCCTGCGATAGGGATGATATATTTTGAATGCGTCATAATCCATCGGAACCTCTTGCAATGAACAGATAACAAACTAATCATTATGTAAGAACAGCTCAACGTTTACTAAGATTGTGTTAGTAGTAGGTATAGTACATTGTCTAGAAAAAAAATTACCACAGGGAATATAATGTTTCATCATACAATTTTGACCAACAATTTCATATTCGTTTAGCGTAAAGAATGTAGCACATATAGGTTGCAGTCTAAATAATCACATTATATCATCACAATGAAATGAAATGATCAAGACAAGTGCCGAATGAGTAATAGAAAAGTATTAATCATATATTATATAACACGATAAAGAAAAATGAATCCGAATAATAACAATGGGTATAAAATAAATCTAAGCCATTGTGACCGGAATATGAATCATGCTGCTCAACATCTTCAATAATTAGTTACTTTAATTTCGCGATCCACAAGCAGGTGGCAGTCTGCACCTACCAAGACATTGCGATCCACTTGTCAATGACATCGTAGACTTGATACAGCCTTTAGCCTCTTTTAGCCCCCTTCCAAATTACTAAATCGGTATACACCAGTAATCAACTGAGCTAGGTTCTATCAGTCTGATCTGATATATATGATGTTACGACATTTCGTCTGAATTTTCGGGGATAAGTAACTCAGCTGTAAAACTAATCGCTAATCATAAAAATCTTTTATCATTAAAATTGAATTTTGTTGTTTGCTTTAGTCAGCAAATATAGCTTGTAAAAATTTGAGCACAGCAACATATAACGTTAGTTTGTTAACTATCGCATCAGTATTCGAAGCTAATTTCCTGCGTGTATGGCTTAATCAACCACGGGGTGTCGATGGTGGCGGGTTGCCAGTTAGTGAAGCAGTTTGGACAGCCTTGAAGGTACCAACTACTTGCCCCAGTTGTTATGCCGTAAGTTAATTGTTCATTTTATATTTGATGTTCTTGTTCTCACTTCACTCTGTTTCTCGATTTCCCTCTGACTTTGACTTTATTTCCTGGAGACTTTTTTCAATGATAATAACGTGACTGTTTTTAGAAATATGGAAACTATTAAAGGAGTTTGCTCAGCATTGATTAATGTTGTATATCTGCTAACTAGATTGGGACAATCGCTCATTGGTTAAGACTTTTAATGTATAGCTACTACGTTGCAGGCTCGAAGCTCGCTTCGCCAACTTAGTACCATTAATTACTCACACGTAGCGTGTGGCTCGAAGTCATGTATTTACGTTTGTACTTAGTCATTGAACTAAATAAACAGATAAAACAGTTGTGTTTATTTACTCGGCTTTTGAGTGTTAGGCGCAGTAAATATTACTACGACTTGCTCCAATTCGATATAGGTGGATTCGGGTTCGAACACACAACCTAATGGTTGATAGTCTGTCTGGTACAAATGAATTGGTCAGATTATGCACACGATATTACACCTCAAACCACGGTTTAGTAGGTCTCTATTTAAAAAACAAAACCGAACTCTCATTCTCGTAAAAATGCTATTCGTTTTCACGAACAATGACAATCATCATCTGTACATTCATCTTGTTAACAACATTATTTGTCGAAATATATTGATGGGGCATAACTTATAGACTAGTCGATAAAGATAGTATCTATTATTAGGTGTCAGTTCTGTTCATAGAATATTGATAAATAATAGTAATGGTTTGATTCACAGTAGATGGTCGGTCCGTCCTGATTTTTGAATATATGTACTGCACCACCCAGTGTGTCTACCTTTCAGTTGTAATGTTGTACTAGAGTTGACATTTTTATCTATAGGACAATCTGCAATCATATCATTGGTGTAAAATTACTGTCAACCAAATGTTCACTTCTCTCTGTGTAAATCGGATATTCTGTGACTGATATGAATGTGTTTAAATGAATAATTAGTTTCAAACGTTGATAATTGGGAATAAGATAGTTATCTGTGAATTTGTAGCACAATTGCATTTTAGTGTTCAATATGTTTACAATAATTAGTAAGTGAATACTACATAAAAAAAAGCATAATTTTCACTGGAGATGTCATTTCAAATTCTAACTTTGGCCTTATTTACTTTTTTGCATCTTCTGAGTTGGAGTGCTCCGCCGCTACAAAAGACCTATGAAGATGGATTGAAATGGAGTAGTAAGTGAAAGTTACCATCTTAACTGCAGAAGTGAGCCATTGTTAGCCACAGTGCAAAAATACGATTGTTATCATCACATGTTGATTGTGAATATCAAGTACACGTGTAGTGAATGAGAACACAGGTGGGGCCACCGAATTGTATTCAACGAAAATTACAGAGTTACTCAGTAAAATCGGAAAACCATATCGTAAATCGTTCATTTGCAAAAGATCAGTTCATCCTATGGAACTGGACTGTTCCTGTTGCCAAACATCAATCCATTGTCACTATTCATGCGTTTCATACAAATTCCATTGTTTTCTAATTCTTCCTTTCTTGATCTTCCCCCCATATTATGCTACCAGACTTTACGTTGACACTCACGTTATATACTACTTATAAGTAGTTCGCACCACAGCACCACACACGAATTTATTCAATACGTATTACGTCATTCAGCAGAATTTTATTTGATTTTTCCTTTCAGTAGCCAATGTACGTTTATAAACACAGTTCTCATTAGCAATTCCTTATTTGAAAAAGGTTTTCTCTTTTCCTTTTTCGAATTGATTTTTCTTTGGATATAGAATTGGACATGGACAACTGATGACAATGAACCAGTCCGTTATACAGATTGGTATAAATCACCAAGTGGAAATCCCGGCGGTTGTTATCTATTTCATCAAGCGCCTTATACTACACTTGAAGATAATAGAATTGATACAGGTTTCGGCAGTATTCAATTAGCCAGTTCATGTGAAACGCCTCATTTTGTTGCTTGTCAAACACTAGCTTTCATGAATAATAATACATCATTGAAATTATCAACTGATCATTTCGGTACACCGAATGCCAACATGCTTTCTTCTGCTTCTTCTCCTACTCGACGCCATCATCAACCAATAAGACCGGATTGTTTTAAACCTAATGTGAGAATAAGTAAATTTCAACATGCTGCTTTATATGAAACGAAAATTCTTCATTCTATTACTGGGAAACAGTGTGTTAGGTTAGTTTCTTTTTTTTTTAGGTTATTTTCTGTCATTCATTTTCACTTCACTTTTCGATTAGTGCTTACTAATCATATTCACAGTTTTTTTTTAAACTTTGATATTGTGGTTAGATGTGCAGAGTGCAAATCAGTAAAGAATTGTAGGGGTTGAATTTTGCGTGTACTCGATGATGCCAATGGTAGAATGGTTAAAAGAGATAGTAAATCTTCATCGACTAAAGTGACTGAGACATATTTCTCGTATGCCTTCTGTGCAAAGTGGTGTTTTTTGGTGTAAAAGGTAATCTGAGAGTGGTTTGATCGAAATTTGACTTTTGCATTGAGTCATATCGGTAGGTGAGGGCTACCTAGTTGAACTTCCTGCATTTATGATGACTCAGAAGCAATAAAAAATAATACAGATTCATTCATTCTTTTGCGTTTTTGCTTAGATCTTGAATTCTCTAATCATATTTTTCAACAACATTCATTCATTCTCTTCTAGTCTCTGTCGATAATTAGTCTTTCGCACGTGAACTAACTCTGCTAATACCTCTCTCTATCATATTCGCATTTGTCTTGATAAATTCATCTTGTTATGTGTTTATATAAAGCATTGCCAATATTATTTACCAGACAGTAAGTTGCTTCTGATTAACTATGATAACAATGTACGAAATTCGGCTTAACACACATTTAGTACTAGAAGAGTTTTACATTTCCAAAGTGATTGTTACTTTCTGCTATGTCTAACTGTGCACTTATATAAGAAGTTGATAATTAGATATTTTCATTTGAATTAAGGTATGTAATTGTTTTTCATTTTTTTCTATTCTTTTTCTTAACTTCTTTACTAATTTATGTATTCCGTCTTTTTTTAAAAAAAATCTGTTTATGAACAGGCTGAAACATTGACTTTATTATCTTTCTTTTGTGCTGTCTAACCCTAACCGTGCATATATACATTATTTGTAATAATGTTTTCTTGCTAGCATGATGCCAGTTACGGAATACACACTGAGTTTATAGATGATAGACAAAGTGATAACTGTCTGAACTAATAAAATTAAACTGATCATTCTATCATAGATATCTTAGAAGGATCACTCGTGTATCCTGGGACAACCGAGCGAGCAATGCTGTTATTAGGAAACGGGTGCTGGTTAAGAATGGCAGATCAATAGATGAAATATTGAAACTGCATCAGTTGAGGTGGTTGGGACATGTGTTACGAATGAATGCTCAACCACCGACTGCCTAGACAAGCTATGTTTTGCGTGTAGGAATAGGTTGGGCGAAAGCTAGGGGCGGCCAAACCAAAACATGGCAGAAATGCATGAAGTCACTGACAAGTGGACTGAGTCATGTCGGTAGATGTAGACTACCTACCTGGTTGTGGTCCGTGAGATGATAGTAACCAATGGTTAGAGACCTTGAACAACATGACTCAAAATCGTTTGCAGTGGCGTCGATGCATCCATTCTTTGTCCTCTATGAAATTCTGAATTCGTCAGCACCTCTACCTTTGTCTTTCTAACCTTATTTCACTTAATTATACTTCTTGAACAAATACTCCGAACCCTAATCTTCTCCGTTTCCAGTAATACTTCTACTATCTCTACCACTAAAGGATTTGAATTGACAATCGCGTCTCTATGCTAATGTGGTATAACAACCTGAACTGATGTACTTGCATACGAAGTTCTACGTTGTAATTGACTGACTGTTTATCAAATTTTTTATTTTATAAACTAAATTTCAATGTTCTGAACTGTGAAACAAATGCTCCATTTTGTTAATCTCATCAAACCTGTGCATAGTAATCGAGTTACAGTTGTTTCATTCTTGTTTTTTTCCCCGGTGCTATGAATTGAATAGGTCTATTACCTAAATTCTGCCTAAATTTCACAGTTGTTCCTATTAGAATTCCAACATCAATGCATTCGTTAGTCACTAATTTATTAGATCCAATTAATCATCGAGTTATTCACCGAGTTTTATAGTTATGTCATTATTACTAGCATTATTATCATTGCAGTTGTTACTATTACCATTATTATTATTATTATTATTATTACTGTTATTATTATTATTGCTATTGTTATAAATGTCTCTTAGTATACCCAGCTATCCCTATTGTTTAGTATTCTCTGACAACAATACACTCGACAAGTCCCCAAATCAGAACACGATTGAACAGGAAAAGATTATATTCCAAATAGCAAGATTAAATGGGGAAGTAAGAAGGCGAAGCGAAGGTGAATAGGAACAACGTTAGTATCTTTATAGTTTTTACGTGAGAAGCTTTTGGAATGTACTAGGCGCTGATTGGATAGGATTTAGCCTATCAGCGCGCAGCTAACGCAGTCATGCTTTATTCCATCTATGTCCCACTAACAGCTATTATTATTTTTTTTTGCACATTGAAATCATCAATCAATCATTGTTAGACACTACCATTAGGAACCTGGACGGCCGTTTCGTCCTGGTATGGGACCCATCATCAATGCGCATCCATTAATCATGCACCTCGCAGGATTCGAACCCAGTAGCTTCGGTCTTGCGCGCGAACACCCAACCTCTGAACCACTGGACCGGCATCCAATTGTGTTAATGTCTAACTCTGATCGATCTACAGATTGTTATTACCATTATCATCCTCTTGTTGGCCTTTGAAGACTGAATTTTTGTTGGTTTATAGGACAGTTTGTAAATGTTTTGTAAAAATTTAACAGCTCTCGTAATCATAGTTACTAATTAACCAATGAATCTCAAATTGTTTGTTTTCTTTAATGCACCAAAATAAATTGAAAAAAAATAAAACATTCTGGTAGAATCCTTATCCTCAATAAGTCAGGCATTCTCTTCTATTTGAAGCGGACCAATTGTATTATTGACTCTGCAAAAGTGACTATTATAAGCATAAACTTATACTATCGTTACTGATTTACAGACACAATTTATGATGTTATAACTGTAAAGACAATGTGTTGTTAGATAAGGAAAAGGGAATAGTCATCTTTATCGATTATAGTATCTTCAACCTGTCTAAGCATGTGTACCAATGTTTATAATCTCATAGTGTTCATATTATGAAAGCTATGAAACGATGGTTTATTATTTTATTCTCTTTATCTATATTAATTCATTGACAAACACTGGGTGAAATTAAATATATCCAAGTGTCTTTTCACTGTTCAGTACAACCTGTAATAATTGATTTTATCCTTGTGTACAGATGTAAGCGATGAAATAAATATCTTCGGTATGCATAGCCTTCGTACGTATATATTAGTCATACAACCAATGAAATAACGCTAATGTTCGGTGTAAATATCCCGTAAATCAGTTGATCAAGCTGTGAACCTTCATCAGTTCATGCGTGTTACACATATGCCTGTTAACTACATCAAAGGGATTTGTAGGTTAGCCAATGAGTAATTTTGAAACTACTTAATTCAAAATACTGTTGTATTGTGTGTTTGTCTAATTCAACTACGCTTGTCTCAACTGCATTATAAATGAGCCGATTGAGTAATGGCTAGGAAGCCTGTAATCGGCAAATTGAATGCCTTGCCCACAGCCAGATAGATTTATCCTTTTGATATAAACAATAACATCTACTGTGAAAAAGTGCATAATCGGCTTTGTTCATTTACTGACCTTGTTCACAATTACTCACTCATCGTTTAGCTTCAAGATGACATGTGAACATAAGCACATAATTTGCCTGGATTCGCCGAACTTACTAGTCCTACTAAGAGTCGTGTCAGTAGTCGCAAGATTTCTAACTGAAGATGCTAAATTGAACTTAAAACAAACCTCTAAAATAATGTAACGATGCAATCAATAACCTGTTAAATCGTACGCTTCATATTACATTCCCTTTTAAGTCAACTGAGTTAATAAATCGATACAAGAATGTCAAACATATATTATTGACTGGATAAAGTGTTCTTTACATAATTATGGTCAGTATCTTGCATTTGACATCACTTATTATATCTTCGTTGGATCGTCTTTTCATTACATGCTTATGTTTACTGAGAAAGCTGTCATATATATATATATATATATATATATATATATATATACGTTTAGGCTCTAGTTTGTTTTTAGCTTCAGCTGACAATAGTACTCATGGGCTGATCGAGCCAGAGTCCAATGGTCTACACTTTCCTAACTCCTATATCAACTTAAAATATATTATAGTGGTTATCCAGTCATTAAAAATGATGACGATCACTATTTTCATTCTTGACACGACGATTGAACTCAACAAATGTCACAACCTCTCAGTAGAATATTGAAAATGTATTTCTAATCTCATTAGTAGTACACATAAAATACTTATTTAGTAGTGGTTGACATTATGCTGAAATTACTTCAGTTTTTGAAGTAATTTGATTGTGTTAACGTCCTGTGATTCTCACTGGTTCTCCAGCTAATGTGATGATCGGTGACAAAAACTGACAGTCACTTGCGATCAATATGGCGCTTTACAAAAATAGGAATTCTATTATGTTACCATATCATACAACATATTGACAACATTTCTGTCAAACCAATCGAAATAATATACTGACAATGGGTCTACGCACAACTAAACAAGATTCACAAAGACGGAATGAAAATATATGCTTGAAACAGGAAACCTGTCTTCAAATTCAGTTAATCTTCACAAGCAACCTTACCTGATTAGTACCAGTGATAACTTCATTAGCCAGCGCTCTATGAAGTAATTTGATGTGTACAAAATTTTCAAACTCCCAAAGCTTTTTCCGTTTTTAATTTAATAGTATGAAAAACTCAACATTAGAGTTCAATTGGTCATGATGTATACGGGTTTAAATTAATGAGCATCAACCCTATGCCGCCATACATCAAAATGATGTTAGTATGATCACTGGCGAGTGGAGTTGTAGTGTGCTGATTGTATTTGAACTGTGATCACATTCAAATCAATTATGCAAAGGTTAACTTGCCTAAAATAATCTATTAAATTAGAATCGGCTGAGTTATTAACTAAATTTTAACTGTAACTGTTTGTATGCCATTCCTAATTCAGTAATTTAATGAATATGTTAAAATGTCCGTCTGTTGTCTTTTTTTTTCTATTCAACTCGGGAATTTTGTTTAAAAAAAAAAAGAAATCAATTATTCTAGTTAGAAGTAGCCTGTTGTGTATGAGTGAATTGTAGATCTGTGATATGTGAATGTGCAGATATTCGATCGAATTTAATTCAATGTCAGATATAATTTTTTTTCTTGATTAACAATAGTGAATTCAGTCATTCATTAAATACACCGTTCACATAATTTTGTGTGCTTTTTGTTATTACACCAATATTAATCGAATTATTTTTTCTATAATTGATTAAATTACAATAAAATATTGTTTTCAATTTTTAAACGATAAATTTTTTTGTACTGAGTCATTCGCTTTAGATTAACTGAAACAAACGAATAGAAAACAAATCTGTAAATCTTATAGTTTGGTAGATTTTTTTTATAAAAAAAACCATTACAGATTATAAATATATAGCGATAGATTTTTTTCCTTCGCTATTCAAGTGAATTCGTTTTAAAATACGAACTGGTTAAAAAATGGTTACATCTGAGTATACACTATTCTGATGAACTTGTAGTATTGATCTCCGTCGAATGTTATGACGTTTTTCCACTTGCTAGTGTTTTCTTGTTAGGTCGAGCTAGCTGAAATCATCCAGTTGTCTACTTTTTTCTTCTTTAAGAACCCACTTAATTTACAGGACAAGAGTGCAAACGTTTACAAAATGCACATACTTAGAGGGCGGTCACTGGTTAAATGAGGTTTATTTTCTGTCTGTTGCCTGTAGATTATGGCATCTGTGTACAGTAATAAATGAAAAAGTGAGTTTCTTTCTCCTCCTTAACTAGTCTTATCTGTCAACTCTGATCAAACTTTAATACTGTGATGACAGACAGCTAGCAATACTTTTGTGATGGAGACTCACTTGGAAACAAGGAAACAGACTGCTTCTTACTTATGAACAAATCAAGATGTATCTAGACTCATGTCATTCTTGATTTTTATGTTACAACCTTTTTTTATTCATCCAATCATTAACTTATCGTGTACTTGATTACTACGGTTCTCTATTTTTTTTGTTGTTGTTGTAAAAAAAAATTGTTCTAGATGGGATTTAATTGATCATAATTTCAGTGAAACTTCATTAGATTTCAATTTTATACGAAATCATCTACTTGCTGCTGAAATGGTTTTCGGTGGTAGTAATACTTATTCATATGCTGAAAACTACTGTTCACATATACACGATGAATCGACACAATCAACAAAATTCGGTTGTTATGTTAGTGTAAATCCACCGATATTCGAGGTAAACCATTGTTTGTTATGTTAATATTTTGTTATGAATACTATTTATTTGAACTACGTTGCTCAAAATTTCTTCTTCTTATCTCATGAATAGTAAAGCATCGAACTATTTGGCTGAAAAATCTATTCTTTGATCCACTGAATTGAATGTATACAACTGCGGGAGTAGTGTTGGTTACTAGCTCTGTCATGCATAGTTGAGATGTGATTCATACTTAAATACATAATTTTGGTGTTGATTTAATCTATGCGTTAACAATTTCACGAAGTCATTTTGAGAGTCGCTCAAGCCTCATCCTTATAGTCCACCTTCGACTGCCTGTGTGTAGCGTTGAAGATATGCACTTCCAACGAGAGTTGCCAATACTTTACTATTTTTGTCGATTTCCTAATCAACTGTGTAGTCTATGGTGTAGATATATCTTAAAATCACAGTAACTGACAAACAAACAACATATGAATGTATAGGATTTTGGAAATACACATTTTTCATTTTTAAAAAAAAGAAATTATTGTTATTATAAGTTCATTACTTTTAGGTTGTACCAACTTAGATTGTCACATGCATTTATTTATGCAAAACACACTATATGTCTAGGCGAAATAATTTCAATCTGAAAATATTGCTGTTTGAAATAAATATCATTCTTTAATAATATGAATAAGTATACGTGTTGTCTGTATATATTTGATTAAAGCTAATTTTTTTTTTACTGTATTGTCTGTAATGATAAATGTTACAAGTTGATAATTTGAATTGCAATAAGAAAAAAACTTATTTACAACCTTGGATTTTCATTAGAAAAAAAAATACGTTGTGATTCAAAATCATGAGATTATTGAATTAGCGACTGACTGACTGACTGACTCAAATCTATACTGTTTATTTAACGGAACCAGACGGTTTCCTTTAGGAAGCCAATATCCGAACATTTGTTTGACCAAAAGGTTTAATTCACATGACTGGCTGTGTAGCAATGTGAGGAAATGCAGCCGCATGGTAATTGGTAACTGAGAATAAGTTCATGCAACATTTTCCCCCTAAAGATTATGGAGCCCATATACACACCATTTGTTTGAAATCAGGATTGTCCAACCTCCCCCAGTTGGATCTACAGAAGTATGATAAAAACCTTTCAGTTCTGTGATATTCTTGATATACAACACATTGTTATTTTGTTTTATCATTAGCAGTAGTAGTTGGAAGAAAACGTTTTTAATTTGGATGTGACACTATTTGTCACTATTTTCAAGATGCTGATGTTGACTGTGGCATTGGAACCCATGTTATTAAGTTCCACCATGCGTGTTCATTATTTAACAATGAGCTACTTGTGTTTGCTACCAACCAACCTCTTATAGGAACAAGAATCAATCATTCTTTTCTGTTGTTTAATTTTTTTTGTTTTTCATTTAAATAATTTCTTAGCAGGGATATTTGTTGTACAGTGTTCATATCAATAGGTTTATTTGATTAAATCATATCAGGTAAATTGATCGGCGACGCATTACTCAATTCAAAATTATCATTATCAAGTGTCAATAGACATTATCTTCTAAATAATAAGTTGTCATCTATGATTATTCGTCAGTGTGTGATGTAAACTCATCATTTAATTACATCGTAATTTCTGAGTAATACCGTGTATTTCACAGTTAATCCTAATATTTTATTCACAGTTATTGTTTACGTTTTTTTCCCTACTTTTCACATAGAATTGTTCTCTTACTGTATGCTTACATCCGCTTCCCACTAGCGGAAATTCTGTGCATTGGTTTGGTGGCATTATGCTGTTCATATTCATTACTGTATGCTGTGTATTCACTGTCTACCTGTTTCAACGGATTGGTATTCATAAATGCATTAAAATCCAACGACGTTATCAACCATTTAATCGATATCGTGTTTCGCGTAAACGTAAAACCACTTTATATCTTGGCAATCCAACCAGTACTACCGGTATCGTAAATCATAGTATGATTGAAGGTGAATTGTCATCGAATACTGATGACACTCCTGATAGTTTTCTTTCATCGACTGCTGCTGCTGCTGCTGCTGGCACTGTATATGAGCCGCCAATCAAGCAAAATGATAATCACAATCTTATTTCATTACAGACGAGTGGACCGAGAAAATTAAACAATAGTAGTAGTAGTAGTAGTAATAATAATAATAATAAGATGCATTCAACGAAATCAAGTGATAAATTCACATTGTCAGCGTTAAATTTAAGTCGTACATCTGCTTCCATTGGTTTTATGAATCCTATCTATTTACCATTGAATGATCGGCATGTAGAAGATAATTATGATCCGGAGCCGCCAGCAAATTAATTCTCATTATTCAGACTTACTTTTTGTTCTTCTTCTTTGTCCTTTATCTCTACTATTAATTATTAATCCATCACTTTGCGTTCATCATTATTGATTCGACGTACAAAATAAGAAACAAAGATATATATATATATATATATATATATATATATATATAAATGTATAAGTCTGTACTTCTCATGCCTTGTTATAAAAGAATCTCAGTCTTTCGATTATTGAATAGATCTAATTTGTAGTAATGTGTTTTTCTTAAAGGTACATAATGAATTAATTGCCCGATAATAATATCATTCAATTGTGCAAGTTATCACACCAATAGTTAACATCATCATATTCATGACTACTGCTGTCATCAGCATCATATCACACACAAACACATTATGTTTCATCGCGCCCATATCATTGTGATTTTGTGTTACTTTTTTTTACTGTGAAAGAATAGATATCAACTTAGAAAACGAAATAAGTCTATTACTACTGATAATGATAATATTATTATTATTATTATTATTATTACTATTATTATTATTGTATGTAGGAGGGTCATTTGTACTCCAGTGTAATCAGATCTGCACATTCCTTTTTGTGACTGTTTATATACTGCCTTTTACTTCTTCACCTAAAACATCTTTCCCCCTTTTTATGTGTATGTTCCTACAGGTGTATTGTTCTTTCTTATGCATGCGAAGCCATTGTTATTGTTTGTCCCAACCCTGCTTTTCCAGAACTCCTTCAATATTATATATATAACTGGTGTGATATGTAATACATATGCGCCTCTACTCACTCGATTACCAAATTAAGCAAATGGAACATTTCTCACCACGACTTCTCTCCTTCCCTTTAATTTCTTTGGCTGTGCTACATATTATTAGATGAAGAAAAAAATATTTTTTGAGGTGATGATATTATTGTTCTTGTTATTACCATGTTCGTTCATCGTTGTGAAATAAGGAAAATTATCTAACTTTCATGTAATAAGACCTCACAGTGTTCAAAGAACAAATTAGTGCATTATGTATTTAGCAATCGCATAAACATCTTTCTAGTTATAGATAGGTAAAATTTGTAGAAACCTCACTGCAATTTCTTCAAATCATGAAATAATTCATCAGTTGCGTACTGTTGATAGTCATTCTTAAATCTGAACAAGGTGGTTTCGATCAATAGTGGTCTGTAGACGGTTCTTACATCATAGTTACCATTATTATAAAAGAATACTTCTTCTTGAAGTGCCCGCAAAAGTAAATTGTTTAGTAAGTGATCCTTGGGACCTGCAACCGTAACTGCATAGCCCGTAACACAAAGAGTAACTACTCAAGGTCAGTCACAGTTTTTTGTGTTTTCCTCCTTGCTTTAGTTCTTACTGAAAAAGTGGGAATCTGTGAGGCGAGGTGAATTGTTGCATATTTCAATCCACGCTTTCTGTTGTAAGAAGATAGTATCAATGCAGATAGTGAGACATTAGTGGGAGTGGGGATCAGTTTGATAGCTCAGATGTTTTCAGGATCTGGTCTTCGGCCGTTGGCATCAAAGATGAGTCCCAAATACTTTACCGACTGCAATAAAAACTGGCATTTTTCTGGGCGTAACCGGAAACCGTTGTCACTGATGCGTTGTAGTACCAATGTCGTGCGTTCCCGTAGCTGTTCTAATGTCTTCGCAACAATTAAGATATCATCGAGATAAGCTGCAACCCCTGAGATATATGGTAGGATAGTATCCATTAGTTGCTGGAAGATAGATTGGGCAGTCTTAAGTCCAAAAAGCAGACGGTTGTATTGATAGTAAGCAGCTCTTTTGATGCTTCATCGACTTCCACTTGCAAATAAGCATCAGTTAGATCGAGCTTTGCGAAAAACTTTCCCCCATTCAGCATAGTGAACAGATCTGCTAGCACTGGCAGAGGATAATGAGGCTGTCCCAGAGCTGCGTTTAGGCCTGTAGGGAAGTCATCACATATACGTATTGTGCCGTTGGCCTTCTTGATAACGACTATAGGTGCTGCCCAAGTAGAGTAAGAAACGGGAGTAATAACTCCTAGTTGTTGAAGGCGATTCAATTCTTCGTATAATGTTGCATAAGGTACGGGTCTCTTTGGACGGAATAAAATTTTAGCTGGTCCAACCAATCTCAACCAAGTAAGTTCGTATCAGCTGGCGTTATATAACATACACCAGAAAATTACGAGTCTCAGAAGGTAACTTTACATTTCAAATGTCCTAACAGACGAAGGCAATTACCACATGCTGTACGAGGCTTCTGTGTTGTCTGCTGCAGGCTTGGGCTACCCAGTTCCGTCCAATTTTTACGTGAGAGGATGGTGATGTCAGATGCGGTATCTATTCGAAATCTACACAAATGCCCGTTAACATTAAGAGTATAAGGCTCTGTGAATTGATAACGGATCTAGTATGGGCACATTTATTATAGTTAGGTAACTGTTGGTGAACAACTTGAACTTCGGAACCACTCCGGCCCACAAATTGCACCAAAGTGTTGTCATGCTGCACGATGGCGATGCGTTGGTATTCATCAGTGATCGCATCGAGTGTTAGTGTTGGGTCTTGTTCAAGGCGATTAAGCAACCGATTTCTGATGTCGGAAAATTTAGGTGATTGAAGACTACATATGAATATGAGGGATTTGAATTGGTCATCAGTAAGGGATCTGAGCCTGAACCGTTCACATTCACGGTTGACAATGCCAACATGGGTCAAGAAGTCATCAGATTCATTCATGACCAGTTTTAAACAGCGATAACGTGTATTGAAAAGAGAATGCTGATCACCAAAAAGTTTGCTGAGGTGCTGAACAGTAGCATTGAATGAATAATCACCTGGGTTCTGTGGCAGGATGTAGTTGTAATACTGGTCCAGTTCTGACGGACCAAGTTTTCTAAGGTCAGCAAAATCAACTTTGAAGAGGTCTTCATAACGCCTGAACCACGTATCAAATGTAATATTGGCGTCAGGATCATAAAGAAACTCTGAAATACTACTGGTCATACCATCAACTGACTGATGAATAGGCGGTGTAAATGAGACCTGAGAAGAGCTGTGAGTAAGTATCTCCATCAATTTCAGCTGTTGTGCAAACAATTTTTCTAATTTAGCTGCATCGATCATAATTCACGAAATCGTTTGTCAAAACGCCGTCGCCAAATTGTTTCGCTCGTCTCTAGGTATGTTTAAACTATTACGAGTTAACCGTAGTCGAATAACGAGAACAAAACAATGAACCAGCCTCCAGGTAGGCTACTGTGATCTCTTGACCAAAAGGTATCAGCGAGAAGTGAAACGACTCATTGCCCTACACCTCAGTACGTCTTCACTTTCAAACCATTAGTTTGTTGTTTTTTCTCACTGCATTCCGACCGATCAGCCTGGTACGGTTGAACTTGAAACTATAAATGTTTCGGCTTATCATAGCTCCATTGGGTCACCCAGTTTTGCAAGCACAATTTTAACGCTAAGGTAGCAGCTATGCTGTTAACATTTTTGCTCACCATATCTGTAACTGGAGTCATTCTAGCACGAAAACTTTTTAAATGACTACAAATGCATGGTTATCGAAAAACATAGATACGACACAGGAGAGAAGATATAGTTTGTCTAGTCACATTGCAACAAACAGAAATATCCAGGTTGAATAGACACCAAGGTAGCAACTACAGCCAGCTGGTTAAATTGAGCCAGATAAAGAAGTTAAGTCTAATGAATATGTTGTTGTTTGAGAGACAAAAACCCACATTACTTTATAAACACGGCTTCAGATCAAACTATTACACTAAATATCTGGAATCGTGTACGAATACGCTCAGTTTACATGGTTCTAATCCACAGTATGTAAAAAGGCTTCTATTTGAATGCTCCATATGATACTTGAAAATCGATCGCAATAGCCCCAATGTATAGGTATACATTCATAGACAATCTGTAACTCACTTACATTAAAACATTTAGCCGTTCTAATTATGCTACGTAGTGATGGGAAGTGCTTGTGCTTTACTTTTTAGCTCCTTAATAGTACCCACCAAAATAACCTTTAGTTCTAGAGACTAGCACGATACTATTAAAGGTTGCTGACACAAAATCCTAGCCTAAATTTTTATAATCTCAGTCTATTCACGGTTCTCATTCCTTTTACCAATGTAGTAATCATCATTAACTGCATTAATTGTTTAAAATATCTTGTGTATGCTTATTATTTAACTGTGTCAGCTGATATAACTTGTAAATGACACTCTAGATAAATGATGGAATGCAGATATGTGTTGTATACACCAATTTTCATATTTTGTGGTTTCAATAACTGCATTTTGATGGATAATCTAATGAGCGAAAACAATCATTCATCCTACTTTGAATTAAAAATGATACTTACTGGTGGTATATGTAGTGACAAAAATCTCATAGCTCCAACAAATATTATCTCGTGATCTGCTATAGAATATTTTATAGCTAAAAAAAGTACAGCTCTCTGTTTTAGCTTGTTTAATTGGGCTAAATTGTATTTTGTTAGTCGCGTTACAGACAAACCAAAATTGTTAAAAGATTTCTTCAAGATGATTTATGTAAATAATTCAATTTTTAACTTTTCTTAATTGAAAGATTAATCCAGGTTACTAAATATAAATCAGTCCCTTGACTTCAAACAATTCACGTCATCAATATTTTGATCAGTTAATCAATTAGATAAAAATGTTATAGCTACATGATTTTTTGGTGCTTTCCGCTAGATAATCTGAATAATTTCAGTAAATAGATTGTTTTGGTGACTAAACCAATGATTGTGAGCTTTCGATTCGATGAACAAGAGAACTAACATGATTATTGCAGTGCGAGTAGGATGTGAGATTGATTGTATCCTAACCACCTACAATATTTGATCACATTTCAAAGAGTAATTTCATAACTTAGTTGATCTGCTACATTTGTCGGTTATAGATGATAATCCTTTGATATTGTTAAACTGATTTCCATACCATCAGCTATTGAATAATAAATATCAAACATCACTCAGTTTAATGTATACAAACGTGAATGATATGCAGTGAAGATCATTGAGAAGCGGATTTTTATTTAGTTTGAATGTTAGATGTACTCCTTCTTCCACTGAGTGCAGAATCTAGTGTACATGTTTATCTGTTTACACCTGTTACTCCTAATGGAGTATAGGCCATCGACCAGCATTCTGAAACCTACTCTGTCCTTAGTCTTCTTTCCCACTTCTATTCAATCACTGTTCATTCTTTTTATATCTGCCTCCGATTCTTGACGCAATGTGATCTTTGGTCTTGAAGATTCCAAGTGAGGGCTTGTCATGTGATGCATTTGGGTGCATCTTACAATGCTATGTGTCCTATCCACCGCTAGTGTTTCTTCCTAATTTGTTCCTCAGTTGGAATCTTGTTTGTTTTCTCTCGCAGTCGGTTGTGCCTGGCCAACGGATCCACAGTATCTCGCGTAGACGAATACTGATCAACACCATCTTGTGGATGATGATGTTCCTGTTTCTCCAAGTTTCCACCCTATACGGAATAACTGTCTTGACGTTTGTATACAAAATTCTGACTTTGGTTGATAGTTGTTTTGAGTCTCAAATGTTCTTCAGTTGTGAAGATACTGCCTTTGCTTTGCCTATCCTCACTTTTACATCTGCATCAGATCCACCCTCCTCATCAATTAGACTGCCCAGATATGTAAAGGTTTCTAAATCCCTCAATGCTTCTCCATCATGTGTAATTTGGTTGGTGTATGTTGTGTTATATTGGAAGATCTTGCTTTTTACCCTGTGTTTGTTGAGCCCTACTGATGAAGAAGCTACTACTATATTCGCCTTCTCTTGTATTTGTTTTAGTGTCTGGGATGTAAGGACTAGATTATCTGTGAAGTGCATATCA